TCAGTTCCGAAAGCAAGCATATCGCAAGCCCGAATTACAAAGCGATACAGATGTTGACTTTGTTTTTGTTACTGTGAACAATGGGTTAATTTGCATAATTTATGCAGGTCAAGTACAGCCCGTCATCTATGACATCCAGGTATGGCATGGTGCCAATTTGTTTGTGCTATATTTGTTAATAAGGGAAGTGTACATAGAAAATTCATAATTTTTTTTTTTTTTTTTTTTACCAAAGTAACGTCTGTTGACATAAAAAAATAGGAAGCAATTGATGAATGTTATTGATGCTAGCATATATTCAGTAATGTTCAAGGTTCTTGTGAATTCCGAATTTAATTATATGGATGATTGTGAACATTATGTACTCGCCGGTACAAACGTAAATGCGCCAATGGATAAATCTGTTCTGGTTTGATTACTGTGACAAGAAGACGATATTAATGAGAATTTTTCCAGAACTTTAGGCTGAGTTGTTTTTCTTTCCGTGACACACTCGGCGGCGAACGGCGCAGGCCGCAGAAAAATAATGAGGTAATTAAGTAGCGAGGGGATCGTGAAAGAGTGGTATTTGGCATGCCAGTCTCCATTTCCTGTTTGTAAGTTTGACGTGTAGGGTCCTGATGAAACACCTGACGAGATTTTATACTCTGGTATTTACGGCCCGGGCTCTGGCCACTCCGAAACTTTGAGGCGGTTCCTGTGCTGTCTATTGGAATTTGCACAGGTTGTGTGTATTAGGTGATTTTTTTTTGTCTCCGTGCTCCATGTGTGTGTTGGTTAAACATGTAGACTTGATGCTACATGTAGTTGATGTGATGGTACTGTGTGGTCTACTTACAAGAGCCAGTATGTGAAGGACACATGCGCTCATAGGCTGTGGAATATGATGACCAATGCTCAACCGAATGTGCAAATAACCAGCGGCATCTCTAAAGAGGAATGTAGTTAATGCGTCTGCATGAAGCCAGTTTTTATGCAAAGAGTGTCAAAAACAGTTGGTCCAGCGTTGACACTGAGTGTGAAGGATCCAGGATGTCTGCGTGATATGGTCAACAGTTGTGCTGTTACAATGTGCTATTTTATCATTGTATGGCGCCCTCTGTTGGTAGAGCTGAGGCATCGGAAAGAATTTGAGAGCTGAGAACTGTAGCGACTGATCGATGGGTTCTGTACGGCAATGCTGAGGTTGACGTGTGGAGGTTGATGCATGATGGCCAAGGTACGTACAGTATGGCTTTTGATACCAACGGAACATGAAAATGAATCAAAAAAAGAAGCGCCACTACCAGACGTTGATCAGCTTCCAATCCAGTGTTCTCCAGTAGCTTGTGGATGCTTACGAGCGGAAGAAGGCACTCCGTGACTGCTCAGTGGAGCTCCAGTGTGCAGGAGGAACTGCATGTGAGCGCTGGTTTTGTGCGAGTATGACGTAAAGTACGCAAACCATGCACAAACTGGTAGCATCTCGTGAATGCTCAGTGCATGGTATGCCTTGCAATGGCATTCAATGGCCTGCCTGACTCTTGTTGACGGGGTACCTGTGCTTCGAGTCCCAAGTGGGAAGCTTTGCCCCACAACAGAGAATGGCTCTGCGGTGTTCGCATCACGTGTTAATTCTAGTATTTTCACCACTGGACGGTGGCTGTAAGCTACATGTATAGCACCTGTAAAGTGTTCATTTATGTAAAAAATTGTTACATGAAATTACTGTTCACATTGAAACATTGAAGTATTTTCATCACCGTGAATTTTTTTACAACATAAATTTACTGTGCCACGCAGCTAAACCTTGAAGGATACACGATTGTAGTGTACCTTCTTGTACGTGTCGAGTTGTGGATTCACATAGAATTACAGACGTAGTGCAAATACAATTTCACGTAACGGAGTTCTCATGTAAAATTCATGGTATCACCCAATGGTTCTAATTGAGCTGGTCATCACAGGTCACCTTGACGTTTTTCAGTGCAATAATTTACTACGTACGTATTGGAAGCAATTTATTTTTGTAATATATTTATAAAGTGTTTGAGATGCTCTTCACATTTCATACGTCAACATATGCGTGTAGTTTAAAGGGAAAGTACATCATTGGCTTTTGCTGTAATTTTCAGAAATGAACTATCTGAGGGGTTAGTGTAATAGATCAAATATTGTTAAACTTACATGCTTGAAATTTTGTGTTCGAAAATGCTGGAAAAACCAAGAAAAACAAAAATGTTCAAGTAGTCTGGTTCCCTGACTCCACTAAAGATAAAATGGATCAATTTATAGATGCCAGAAAATCGTAAAATAAGGGAACCAGTCTAGCTGGCCTGCACCCGTCACGAACATGTAACCAATAGCAAACAAAATTTGGACTGAAAAAAAAGAAGGTAAATTTGGAGCAGTAGTTGAAAAATAGTTAGGTTTTTCCAACGGTGGTCGGCCGACCACCGTTGGAAATTATATAAAAATACAATTTTCTTGAAAATGACTTCACACAAGGTGCCATAATTTTACAGGATGCTTTAGACTGTCATTTACCAACATCCTAGTAAGGTATTTCGTAAAAACGTGGTAGTTTTATTTTTCGCAAATGTTGTATATTCCCTTTAATGGAAATTGTGAATTGAAAGGTTTTTACTGCAATATTTTAAGCACACAACCAGCGGTGAATTGAAAGTTTACTGTTAAAATTAACACTAATTTTAATTAACACTAATTTTAATTATTAGTGAACACTTAAACAAAAAAGTACCGAAAAAGCCTGTTGAGATGTTTTAATTGCTTATGCAAATCAACTCGAATTGATAAAGCTTTTAAATGTACATGTAAAGTCATGTTATTAAAATACTCATAGCGCAAGTGGCGATATGTGCCTAATAGAAGACGGCAATTTTGGTTTGTTTGGCCCAAATTGAATTGGCCCAGGGATGTGTATTGTGGATGATTAGGCAGTTTATGTGAAAAGCGCTACATGTATGCGTCTACGAGTAGACACTGTTGGCTTGGCTGGGGGGGGGGGGGGGGAGAGAGAGAGAAACGGGGTTGTGAAATTGATAGTGTTTACAATAATTCTCCCTGTTGGAGTACACATTGAGATGCAAAAAGCTAGGATTTATAGAAGCAGCTTCGCCTGGAGTCAAAGGGAAAATTTAAGTTATGTGTTGATCTTGACTCGCAGGAACATGTTTATGTGAGAATGTACCGATATATGTCCTTACATTTATATCCAGTATGACATCAGTGCACATGCACAGTAACAAAATCGGCAGTATTGTGCAAACATGTATGTAAATATATGCACACTTGTCCGCGGTACATTTGTGTATATTGTACATCCATGATGTGAAATAGATAACATTGTACTGCTTTGTCAGCCTTACATTTTTTTCTTAATTCGAAGAAAATCTGTGAAAAAACTACTGTGCATTATCAGCGGATAAGCAAATAAACTTTTGATTACAAATAATAGTCATCTAGATTGTCCTCAAACACCTTGGTGCTAGTCCAGCAAAGTTTGATACATGTACATGAAGCTTAAAAATGTATAGCCTGAATCAGAAAAATTATACATGCACATGTAGTTGAAACCAATTGTTGAAATCTCCTCTGCGCAGATCAACAAAATCTACCTGAACTGGTTTGCTTTTTGGGCTAGCAAGATTCAGCCAGTTCTGATTATTGGCTGTTTCGGCAACCGGCCGAAACAGCCTTTGTTTTCGTTAAAGTTTTTTGTTGTTATTTTTTTTGCCTGCTTATATGTAGCTATTAACCCTTACCCTACTTGACCCTCCAATGCATGCCAATTGTGCCTCAAGAAAATCTCCTATGTTTTTTGCATGGCCCTCCAATATCTGCCATGTCATTTCAAGGGTAACTGGACAGGCACTCCAATACATGCCACAGAGAACAATGAGAGTCCTCTGATAACAAAGTGAGTGCCCCCAGCTGGTCAGTATCAGGCACCCTCCAGGGCCTCCAACTCCTGCCAATTGGAGCCTTCACTGTTAAGACTTGTTATCTGCCAAATAACTGCAGCTGGAGGGCATTGGCATAACCAACTGACATACAGTAAACTACCCTCAGAGAGTAAGGGTTAAAGACCCATTAAGATCATTTGCTTCTCATGTATTATGTTCTTTCCAATAATAACAGCATTCAAACTCCAAAGAAGAATGTTCACGATCTAACCCATTGAAGTTTCAGCTCAGTGGATATTATTTTTTGAGAAAACAGTGAAAAATAATGCACAGCCTTTCGATCACGAAACAGGATTTCGTCAATAGCACTCTTTATTTCCAAAAAAATTGTCAAATGTCCATTGACTGATCATTAGAAATCACCTACATTTCTTGATTCGTCTAAATGACAGCAAGCCAGATGGAATAACATCATAGGGTGTTTCGTACCAGTACAAACTTGATCTAAGTTAAAGCTAGAGTCCATCATTTGCAGCCATCCGAAAAGTAACTGGCGTAATTATTGTTGAAAAACAAACTTGGTTAAAAGATAGTAAGGGAATTAAACTCCCTGTGAAATTATTCTTTCTGGGAAGCTGTCATTTTGAAGTAATCAACGAAAGAAGGCATTTCCAACGGTGATTCTTAAGAAGCACCGTAAGAAAATCTAAATTAGTAGTTCGTTTTGTTATTCAGCGCAGCGCGCACAAGTATTGGAACGACGCACACGCGCGCACGGTTGTTGTAATTCGTCGGATCAGTGCGCGACGTCGCGTATAGCTGCAATTCAAAACATGATTCAGTAACTTTTGATTTGAAATTGAGATCTTAGAATTCTGTTTTTCTCGGAATGTACAGCTGAAGCTTAGCTGAAACTTCATCAGGTTAGTTGCTCAGTATCCTTCATTAGATTTTGAACTCTTTTGTTGCTTCAAACGAACAAAATGCACAAATTACAAATGATGGACTGTAGCTTTAAGCTTTCTGATAATAATTCAGTAGGTAAGAAAGAAAGTCAAGATAACCGTTTCTTTTCTTGCAATCCTTTTGCGACAGATATGATGCACCAGCACCAACAGCTGATGGTGGCGCCTGCCAAGAGAGGACGCAAGCCCAAGGAGGGCAAACAGAAGAGGAAGAGACGCCCCAAGCCCACAGACCACATCAAGAAGCCCAAGACAGGATACTTCTACTACCTGGAGGCCTTCAGAAAGAACTTCGGCAAGAACGGGGAGCAGATTCCAAGGGTGAGATTTTAGGGAGGAGAAAACAAAATTGTATTTTCCCTTCATTTGGCTTAAGAAAAACACACACACACCTATACTTGAGTAGGTTTATGGTGTAAATCGAGCACACACACGTGCAACATCATTGATGAATTGAGGACAGGAACCAAATCGAGGACGACCTCGACTAGAAAACATGTACAAAACCAATGAGAGCTGTTGCCAAAAGTACAAATAAAGGAAAAGGGAAGAGGAACAAAAGAATATCCTTGATTTACACCATAAACACACGTGTGTGTACATGTGGCTTTACGATAGAGGACAGACACATAAAGGGAGAACAACAGATCCTTTCAGTCCTCGAGCGTTGGGTCTTTTGTTGAAAACGGTCCTCGATCGTACGGTTATGTGCTTAGTCTGTGGGAGAGTGTTACATTACAGGGACAAAGGGAAAAACAAAGCATTGTCCTCGGGCGTACAGAAATTCACAACTGTGTGTTCCATAGTTGTGGGGACTACACACGAGTTGTCCCATGGTACTATGGTGACCAATGACGCTGTGGGGACAGCAGAAAGTCCCTGTAACTCGGTCTGTAACCGGCCCCCGGTTCCAAATGGGACCTACACCTATGCTGGGCCATATTGTTCTCCATTGGTAAAGTCCACTATTGAATGGGTCTACATACACACATTATGTGTCAGTATGCTGTTTTGTCTGAACAGTCAAAGACAATCAACAAATTCAACCCTGTTCTCCTGCTGTGCCTTTACACACAGGCTAGTCACCAACAGTCAGATCACATTTCTGCAAGCACTGCTACTTGTTATATTTCATCAACACACAAAGGCAGGTATTAAACTGGTGGGCACAGCTTGCTTATCAATCACCTACAGTCAAGGCAAAGCTGTATCAAGTTACATAAGCAGTCACAGCCAGTCAATCCTGCTTTAAGTAGGCAGGAGGCCCTTGTTGAAAATGTTAACATGTTAAAAACAGTCACTGGATTGATTTCGACTGTTCGGATGGCTTTGTTGAATTGGCAAGCCAGGGAGGGATGGTTTATGTTAAGGCCGGTTCATATTTTCAACGAATGCGGATGCGAAACGATTTGACGTCATGAAACATTCGCTGCAAAATTCGCCGCAGTTGAAATGTGCTCAACTTTTGCGAAATGGCAGCGCGAAAGTTTGCCGTTGTGTCACAAATCCGCGTTCGCATTTGCTTTCGCGCCGAGTTTGAACCGGCCATTACAGCGTACTGACCCGCTCATGGTTACTTTTTTTGTTGTTCTGCTTCTGTAATTAACAGGCAAGTGAAATTACAAAGGCGTGCGGTGCCAAGTGGACCTCCATGAATGAGGCGGAGAAGAAGCCCTATGCTGACTTAGCCCTGACTGACAGGGAGAGGTACCTGGCGCAGGTGGGTAGTTGGAAGATTTAGTCAGAGTCATATCAGTGTGGTGGTAGTCGAGTCCATCACAAGTCCAGTCACACTTTAACCCTAACCAGCCCAACTCCATCAAAATTTATCCCCCCATTTCGATGGATTATGGGGGACTTTGTCCTGCAGGCCTAATGTGACTAAATATTGATAAAGTATGATGAACTTGGGCCTGAAGGCCTGAAGCAGTGCTAGGGATATCCGATTGATTTTGCCAATCTTCCTGTACTGCTATTGTCATTTAAGCCATATGTAGCAAGTCCATGAATGTCAACCAGTGCGTCAGTGGTGGATTCCATTATGTCATGTACAGTTTTGTATTGGGAGCACAGTGATTGATGGATATTGATGGACTTGGACCAGTTCTTAGTAAAAGACACTAGGGAGCTAGGGTTAATCACAAGTCAGTTTACAAGTCTGATCACAAGTAAATCACAAGGCAATTCACAAGTCCGGTCACAAGTAAATCACAAGGCAATTCACAAGTCTGATCACAAGTAAATCACAAGGCAATTCTCATGTCTGGTCACAAGTAAATCACAAGCCAATTCACAAGTCTGGTCACAAGTAAATCACAAGTCCGGTCACAAGTAAATCACAAGCCAATTCACATGTCTGGTCAAAATCACAAGGCAATTCACAAGTCTGGTTACAAGTTTATCACAAGTCACTGTCAATTCACAAGTTCGGTCACAAGTGCGGTCACAAGTCAATTCACAAACCTGGTAGCAAGTAAATCACAAGGCAATGGACAAGTCTGGTTACAAGTTTCTCACAAGTCAGTGTCAATTCACAAGTAAATCACAAGTCACTACACAAGTTCAGTCACAAGTAAATCACAAGTCAGTTCACAAGACCAGTCACAAGTATCAGGGATGATCAATAACAAAAGAATGGGAAACTTCCATGAATCAAAAATCAACTTTTGGACTCCTTACTCTGAGTCATGACATCAATCTCCGCACCAAAGTTTGAGATTTGCCAGGATTTTTCCTGATTTCGATGTGTTTTTTTTAGGGCTTTTCCTGACTTCAAGATTTTTACCATATGAAAGTTTACAAAGAACAAGAGAAATGGGCGTTGTAAGGGGTGCCTTTAGGCAACTGTAACCATATACCCTAGACCCTAGGGCCCTCAGGGACCATCGAAACCCTCTGCCGACTGTTTTCATGGATTTTTCATTTCCCCCCCCCCCCCCCATCTCACCCCTGCCTCACAAAAGGGTGACAGTCTGGAGATAACGAAGCCTGCTGTTCCAAACGTCTTTTCTGAAACTTACTAACAAAACACAAATTCACAAAAGCTAATCCGGTACACATGGTGCTACTGATTGCATGACCTGTTGCAAACTTTCAAATCTTAATGAACTAGATTAGACTAAGTATTATCCCTCCTTGTCACAGCGGGAGATGTTCACAAAGAAGCGGGACCCAGACAAGCCCAAGAAGCCGGCCACGGCCTACTTCCTCTTCCTGGAGGACTTCCGGAAGAAGATGAAGGGGGTGCCGCTGGAGCCGGGCAAGCGCCTGACTGTCATCTGCGGCGAGGAGTGGAACAAGCTGACAGACCAGCAGAAGAAACCTTACCAGGACCAGGTGGCTATCAAGTATCAGCTGTACGAGGAAGCCATGAAGGAATGGAGACTCAAGGTTTGTAGATCTAAATGGTTTAACCCCCCTAGTCTTTTGCACTTCAGAACCCTTCAAGTTTCTCAAAGACCACTTTTGCCCATACGGTTAGCAACACACTTCAAATTCCTTGGAGGTAATCTTCTGTGGAGTATGGATAACACTTCAAATCCCTGCACAATTCTTTGGTGTGGTTAAGCTCAGGGCAAGCAGGCAGATTCGGTCACGCTTCACTGCTGTTTTTTTTGTTTTGTTCAGTGACCCTCTGTGTGAGTTTCACACTTCATATCCCTTCACCTGAAACTGACCTGCAGAGCTTTAATTAAGGGTTTTACATATCGCTCTGAATATTGACTTCCATACGAGGAGGTTTAGCTCTAACCCTCCAAGATCCTCCACAAATCAGCTATGACGGTCTAGGAGAATTTTGAAGGATTGAGCAAGTAGAGGCCAGCCACTACTGCTTCACATTAGACTCGATGCCCTTGTATGTTCGGAGTATGAAGAATATGCGTAGTGGTAGACTTACCAGCCAATTTTTGCCTTGGAGCATTCGGAATCCTCCTACGTAAGCAACCACAGTGCAGGAACCCAATAGTAGTGGCTGGGCTCTACCTTCCTCAATCTGTAAGCTTATCCAAAATGTTCTGGTGGATTTTGAAGAATCTACTTACTGGTGACCTTGACACTTGGTATCTCAATTACCATGTTTTCGTACCCATGGGCTTGGTGTGTGAACAAGAGAGGGCGCTTTTGGACAACTAAGATCCCAGTGGATGGGACACACGAGGTGCGCGTACTGGTTCGTCCGCGTATCGCTGAAAGCACAAAGGACTTATGTGCACAAAGCCATAGCGTCCTTGCATGATCGTGTGGTTTCGTCGGCAATGCTTACGAAAGTCTCCCCCAGTGGTCTCCCCCAACTCTCCCTTTCTTACCATTGAGGGGGTACTTGTGCACGGAGCCCATGAGGACAATAAGTGGTTTATGGAAAATGATGGTTGACAGTCCATTCTGTTCATGCAAAATGTTTTTTTCTTTTATCTCCTCCAAAGAAGGGAATTCCCGAACCCCACAAAGCACCAACTCAGCCCTCCCAGTCCAGCATGAGCCACATGCAAGCAGCCAGCATGCAGCAGCAGGCCCAGCACCAGCAGGTCCAGCAACAGGCAGCCGCCGTGCAGCAGCACAGACAGCAGCAGCAGCAGCAGTACGGCCAGGTGGGGCTGGGCATGGCCAACAGCTACAACGGCAGCGCGCAGGCCGCCGCTGCCCACCAGCAGCTGCAGCTGCAGAGGATGCACATGCAGCAACAGCAGCAGCAGCAACAGCACCATCACCCGACAGCGGCGCCCACACACCCTGATGACGACGACGACGATGAATATGATGATGAAGATGATGACGATCTGGAATATGGAGAAGATGAGTAAAGGCCGTCCTCCGCCAAGCCCAACTCTCTCCCGCCTCAACCCCTTACTTGTGTCAATACAAGACTGTTTCATAGTGCTCCAGTGACAAAAAATAAAGCCAGGCCATTTGTGTCTCATACAGGCTGGAAACGCATCACGTCCCTTAAGAGCAGGCATGCCACTTTTCCTTGGATCCGCTGATTTCCTCGGTTTTTTTATTTCTCAGGAATGCCATTACAAATTGCAAAACACTGTACAAAATCTTGTGTGGTTTGGAATTTACTCGTTTTTTTTTTTTAAATTCCTAGTTGCAAGCCTGTGAGAGAGGAAGGTCTATTTTGTCACTGGCCAAGTATGGCAAAATTGCCAAAAGTGAAAAGGGCAGTGAAATTTCCACTGCCTTCAACTATTGTGGAAATGGCCAAAAAATCAAACAACAGCAAAACTTCAACCACCTTGAAATCATCCCTGAAATGGATGAAACGTTTTGGAGAAAAGTGCTTGATATGAGAAAGATATTTCCAACATGCCTCTTCACCAAACATACATCATAATGGTAAGGATTTCCTGAACCCAACTGACTAACATGTGTTAGCTGAAACATTAGACCAAGTTTTTGGCATGTTTTGGCCTTAACAAAATCTAGGCCACGGGCTTGGCCCGTTTTCCTCTGCGATGTCAGCCGGCAGTGCTCAGTGATTCCTGTCCACCAATCACTATCGAAATCCAAGATTCCACTACCAATGTAGTCCAGTAAAAGAAACTGTGTATATGTGGAGCACAAATGGCCTCGCCTAGCGTTGTACACTGTCGACGTTGTTTATTTTTAGCCATGTAAAGCAAAGCTGTAAGCGATATTCAAGCGTTTAGTATCGTCAAAACTTTAATTATTATTATTATTATTATTATTTGTGATTTTTTAATTTTTTTAACTTGCCGTAGGCTGTTCTAGCTGTTTGAAGTGTGCTGTCATAGGTGACCCCCTTTGAAGTGTGGTTCCAAAAAAAATTGTTTAACGGAACACTCATGTTTTTGTTTCGTCCGTGAGACTTTCTTCCAGCAGTTTTAGCTACAAGCACAGTGTCACAATAGACATTCAGCCATGACAGTGGCAACAATTATCCCCCCGTGGAAGTTTAAACTGAAATTTTATGAGTGTTTTTCGAAAAAAAAGTGAGTTCTCATATTTTACTGCATCACCGTGATTGGTCCGATATTACACTGTCGAGAACATTTTTTTATTATTTTTTATTTATAGGACCCGATGCTGCACATATGTGTATGTGACTTCTTTTTTTTTTAAGAACTCGTTCGATAGAAGTACCAAAAAGTAAAAATTCCATGACCTTAATTTGAAATAATTAATGTGTTTTTAAAAGAGAAAAACGAAAAATTAGATTGTAAAGAGAAAAATAAAACCTGCAGCACACAAGATACAAACAAAAGCAATAAATTGTAGGCAAGATAAACATGGTGGTGCTGACGTAAATGTGTGTTGTACTTAAAACCGAGATGGCAGTATTCTTGCTGTCACATCAAGAACAATTATTTTCTTAGTTGTCGAAATTCTTGGGGGAAAAAAAACAAAAAACCTGCTGCTGGCTGTGAAAATGTTTGTTTAGATCTGCATGTTTATGTTAATCCAAACTTTCTTGTTTTATCGGAATGTGTGTCCGCAATTGGGCTTAGTACAGACTGAGAGACGTTTTGGTAGGAAGAACTTTGGAGATTTCCGTCACTTCAACAATGCCAGTTTGTTTTTTTTCGTTGAAAAAAAAATGGCGTTGAGGAGTTGTATGTGCACGCTGTGAATAATCGCATTGTCTGATGACTAAATGTTAACAGTCCAGTAGCTGCGTGGCAATGTCTGGGCTCGCGAATGTAAAAAAAAAGTAAGGATACTAAAACTGATACGTAGCGCTTGAGACAAAAGCTGATAGTCGTAGTTGAAGGTTGAAAACAAACATGAAATGCTGGTCGGGTCTTTGTTAAAATAAAACAAGCATTGTAATTCAGATATTATGTAATTGTGCATCGATGTCTTGTGTTTTGGAAAAGAAAAATATAACTTGTACATTGTGTTCTAGCAGTTGTACCCGCATTGAAAAGTGGTTGAAAAAAAAATTATCACCTTTGCCTCTGAAAACCACTGCAATACCCCGTGCTACCTCTAAGGCCCAAATTCTCACTTTTGAGAACAAACCAAAAAAAGCTCAACTCGGTTAAAAAATTGGAAAAAATTACATCACAAATGTTTGCTCTTGTCACACTTTTTCTCTGAACTGTTATTTCTTTTTTACTATTTTATTTTTATGGCCAAAATTTGGGCCTTTGAAGGAAGACAATCTGGAAAATAATACAACTTTCAGTGATTCGTGAGTAGTATAGGCTTCCTGTGGTACCAGATGGCAAGTATTGAGTGGTTGCTTTTCATATCTGTAGCCCTTCCCTTGGTTGATTTGTCGAAAGTAGTTAGGTCCCTCGATATTAAAATACATAACAGTGTTTTCTAGACGACTAGGTAATACGGCCATGCCATACCGTATGTGTAGGTATTCTTTGTATACAAACAAAAAAAATGTTGTGTTTTGGAGATGACGACCGCTGTGAAATCGTGCCGTGTGGATGTGACTTCAGACGATACAATTGTAGATATATAAACCTTTTTCGACCTTATGTCCTGTATGTAGGATCTTTTTAAACCACGACAAAGTGTATAAATATTTGTGAAGACACCCCAGATTCTTGTATACTTAAAGTGAGATCTGTGACAATCGTAATTTATGTGGATATCATATTTTTTAATGTAATAATAACCCTGTATTCTTCTGACTTCAAAAAAAAAAAATCAGGCCAGTTTTTTGCTTTTTAAATTATGAAATAATTAACGAGGGAACCTTATTCAGCCCCAAAATTACCTTGAACAAGTGCCATGTTTTTCTTAACGTGGACAGAAAATCCGAAACCCCGAACACCCCCCCCCCCCCCCCCCTTTTATGAAATATTTATGTAAACATTGAAAGCAATTATGTAACTTGCCAAGACCGGTGACTGTTTTTTGTATTCACAGATTGGCGCCTGTTTAAAGTTTTATATATACCACTGACTTGCTATCAAAAGACGAGAAAACTAATACCCCGAAGTAGGCGTGATTTTGTCCTTTTTCAGCAATGAATATTTGATTGTTTCTTTCCCTTCTTTTTAAGTGGTCATCAAAAATAACAAAATGTTAAATTAAAAGGAATAAATAATTGACAATCTTAATCAGGTATTAACACTGCCAAAAAAAAGAAGAAAAAAATAAATACCGCATAAAGACCCAAAAGTTAATATTTTTTATTAAAAAGTAACTTAAGCAAGCTGTTGTAGAGTAAAGAGCCTTTTTTTGTCAGATACTAGCAATCAATATATTGGGCATTTCTGATTGATTGGTCAAATAGTTTTTTTGTTTGTTTTTTAGGAAAAAATAAGGGCCAATCTTGACACCATTGTTAGGCTTTAGATATTTATGCTGCGTAGCTTTTAGGCGACCAAGAAGAACTGTATATTTTTAATTGATCGTTGCGTGGAATGATGCCCGTTCTTTGAATCATGTCATATCGAGAATTCGATCCAATTTTATGATAATTAGCTTTGTGTCTTAGAGAAAGTCGCCGTGAATTATAGAATGAAATCTCTATCTCCCATGCTAATTGGGAAACAAAATAATGAGGTTATGCTTCTGGAAACAAATTGAGGTTGTAGTATCATAATTTTGTAATTTACATTTGAAACAATAGAATGGAAATGATTCTGTGTTCTTGATTCTTCATCAGAACCGTGTCGTTACCCACACATTGCATGAACACTCACTCTTGTTTTACTATACTCCCGAGGACAATGCTTTGTGTTTCCCTTTGTCCCTGTAATATAACACTCTCCCATTGACTAAGCACACAAACCTTCTACAGAGGACGGTTTTGAACAAAAGACCCAACTCCCGAGGACTGAAAGGATCTGTTGTTCTCCCTTTGTGTGTCGGTCCTTGGGGGTTATGTAGAACACGTACAACCTAATCACATACGACTTGTCTTCTAAAGTTGCCATTGTAAACTGTTACATGACAGGATTTTGTTTGAAATTATAAAAAAGAAATGGAAAACATCATTGAGCCTTGTATTTCATGAACTTGACACAGGTTTTTCTCACGAAGTTAAATTTCAATCCCGATCAAAGTGGGTCAGAAAATTGTCTAGGAAATGGCAAATGTAATTATACATTGTAATAACAAGCATCTCATTTAGTGGGTACAGTCTTGTGACGTCAAAATTTGGATATCGGTGATTATTTAATTAATACAAATCTCTGTATTTGGAACAATGAGAGGACGATCCTTGCCAATTTTGTTTTGTTTTGTAGATACAGAGAGATCTCTTGTGAATTGTCTCATGCGCCATTACTTCGAGTGTTTTACCAAAGTGTTTGTATTTCTCGAGCTTTCTAGTCATATTTTTGTTATCACTGTACATTTACTGCAATTCTTGTTGCTTGAAATCGAAAAAAAAGTATGTTTTTTTTTTATTTTGTAGAATTGTGAGTATTTGTCTGACTTGTTATTAGTGTTAAAAAGCAACTCAAAATTGAAGACAAAAAAAACTATCAAAACAAACTGAGAAAAAAAGAGAATTTTGGAGATATCACCAGTGTCATGATTCTTTGTACATCTCCGATAGGGAGGTCATTAAAATACGCAAGAAATTGGTCCCCCAATGTGTGCTTTGGTCTGGTGTTTCTTCTGTATTGTCTTCCATTTTACTTGTTAAATTACATAAGTGGAGAAGGGCCATCTCTTGAATTCAGGCGACAATGCAGTGTACCAAAGAGTTTGCCACGTAGAGTTCATTTTTTCCCAGTGCATTGTGGGAGATGGTTGACAAATTCGCAGCGCGGGACATTTGAAATTGTTCGTTTTTTTTCCGGTCAGTAGATTCGTAAGCGTTTGAGTATACGTTTGCCCTGTTTGTTTTCTTTTTATCAATATGTTTCTTTTTAGTAAGGCGGCAGAACGCTATGCCCCAGTCTATAACAAGTTAGCTCAAGTTGTGTACTGACACTCGTTCAAATGGGCCATGTTTTGTCGACCGTAAACTTGAAAAATGGACTCTCCATGGCAAACTCTTGGTGGCGCACTGCATTGTGAATCGCCTGCGAATTGAGTGACAAAGTGGCAGTCAAAATTGCAGATCTCAACAACACCAAGTGACTATCGTAATAAACTTTTTTTTTGTCCACTAAGACTAGCCTGCCTAGTAAAGATCGCCCCAAATCTTCACTGAAGTGTTCATGCATCTGTTCTACAGATGCTTGCCGGATTTTGCCCATTCGTGGGAGTTGTGGGGTAATCCTATATGATAGCACTGCCCGGCCCTCTTCACCAGGTGGAAGGTGGGAGTATGAACTAGCGAGGGTTTGCGGTAACACCTTGTGGAAATCTCTTTTAGAAAGGTGTGTGGTTCTGAAAAGAACTGGTTGAACCAGACATCGTCCCAAAAGAGCTGTCCACATGGTGTCACCGCAAACCCTGCCTAGTTCATACTCCCACCATGCAAGGTTTCAAATCTTATTCACAATACAAATTGTGCTCTGCTGTTTTGGATGAGGGGCTGCACATCTTGAAATCAAGTAGAGAAAATTTGCGGCAATATACTTGTGCGTGATTTAATTACTCCTGCAGTTCACGAGCATGTACTACCCATGTCGAGTCTTTGTGGAGACTAGTAAGTTCATATTGAGTACTTTGGAAAACTAAAGGCAGGAATCGTCATTCCTTTTGAAACAGGACAGATCATAGGTTTGAGGGAAACAATCACCAAGCAAGGAATTTCAGAAAGATGCAGCACGTGGCACATGTGGAAAGTATTGGAATATCCTTTTGTCCTGCATCTAGGTACAGCAACAGTATATAAATTACAAAAGGCAGAAAGTTAAGTTTCACTCTCAAACACTAAGCAAAATGCTTGCAAGTCTAAAGACGTTCCACTGATTTGATTATACACTTGAGTAAGATAAGACATCCATTGGTATGTACACTTCCCCCTCCTCCCGATTTTTTTTTTAAAATGTCACAATTTCAGACGTTATTAAACGCAAGATCAAATAAATAAACAGGACATTAAAATGAAGAAAATATCAATTGGAACTAGGAATTATGACTTTCTTATGCGTTTTATTTTCAAAGGCAAGAACATTTATATAACCATAGAAAAGCAACTTGACTCCTTGATTATATAATAAATATGTGCTTGGCCGGATTTAGGCCATTGTTCGCGACTAGCTGGCCTCTATAGCCGATTTAAATGTACTGGTTTTGAACTGGCCAAGCACATATTTATTCCCTGAATAAAAGCACAAATCAAAACCTTAATAAAAAAATTTAAGAAGAAAAACCAAATTAACAAAATTGCGTTCTCTCTTCTCAAAAATCTTGCATCCACTTTCTTACTGGCATTTCAATATACAAAATCTGTATGCAATCTACACTATGAAAATACGCTCAGGAAACAAAATTCTTTAGGAAATTTGTCTTCAAACTGTGGATTTTCAAATGATCAGATGCAATGTGACCTTATTTCAGCTTTGGTATGAAGACATTGAAATTTACCAAAAATGTTTGTTCATTGATTAAAATATCTTGCATTGTTAATTATAAAGCACTCAATAAAAAAAAACCAACAGACTGATTCCAAACAGGAGCCATCATGGATGTGTTTTTTTATGTCATTTTACTAGGCCTAAAACATGACAACGTCTTGCTTTGTTCACATTTGCTTCTCCTATGGGAGCCAATTGGGGACGAAAGCCACCAAGCTCCCACAAGAAAGCGCACATGTAAACAAAGCGTCCCGTCATTATATATGGCTCCTATCAGCAACACTAAATGCACAAACGGTCTATATGCTTTACATGTGAAGGCACCATGGCTTCGTTTATAGCTAGTCAAATACAAAATGGCAGGTCCAATCAGAAAGCATTTTACATGAAGGACAAAGGTTTGCCACTTAAAAAGGGCACACGATTGGTCAATTGAGGGCTCATGTACAATTACCATTGATTCTTTACTGCTAGTTATAAAAATATCTGTTGTGAATAATATAGCACAATAGGTAATGAAAACCAAACAGCCAGACACTATAAAAAATTTAATAACCACATGTTCATAATTTTATTGCAAACTAACAAACCATGTTCTGAGGCCAAGCACAAAAAAGAACCAGTTTTTCCTCACCCTCTTCTTTTTTCTTGCCTGCCTATTTTTTTTTAATCATACCTTTCCAATATATTTTGTCATCTGTATTGCTTCCAGCACAACTGTACTACGTATGCAATTTCAAAATTTGGTAGAAAGGTCTAGAAAATGGAAGAATCGATCCCGCCATATGGCGCCATCTAAGAAATCCGCATCTTGGGGGGAAAAAAGGGGGCCACCTCCTTCTTTTTTTTAAAAAGCCGGACGAGCAACTATATATTTTTTTTTTTACTTGGCCCAATAGTTGTTTTATAATACTGCTGTTTTATCATTTGTTAATTTGAAAAACAATTTTTTTTTTACAGAAAGTCGAGCGCTACATATGTGTACTTGTACATATACGTGAACTACATTATTTGTTTATAACGTCATTTTCAGCAGCTACAGTGATCTAGCATTGTGACACTGACATGACTGTTGCACTTTATGCCTGAGTGTTACACATTAGAATGCACTCTCATTTTGTTGACTTTCATGTCCAAACAACCACCTCCAAAGTTTACCCGCACTTTGCCACGTTTACGGCTTACTTTGTGAAATGATCTAGGGCTTTGGGAGAACAAACTAAGAAAATAGTTCTACTTTTCAAGTGACACCCTGCTTATACCTGACTTTCCATCACATCTTTAAAGTTGGATGGAAAACAACAACAACAACAACAACAACAACAACAACAACAAAAATAGCAAGCAGTTTAAAACTGCAAGACATTTTTGGCTAGTAACATATTTTAGCCAAGCAAATTTTGTGCTGAGCTAGTCTTATATGTAAAAGATCAGTTAAAAAAGGATTGACTCAATTTTAAGAAAATGTAAATAAATATGTTTATATAAAAAGGAAAAAAAAACACAAAATCAAAAAGAGTTGGTCTAGGTAGAAAGAAAAATCTCTCAAAGACCCGTGCCTACTTGCAATCCCCAATTTGATTTTGTTGGTGATACATATTTCTGTTTATCGTGGCTGTCAATAACATTGCAAGCAGGCTCTGGGAAATTGCCGTGTTTGTGTATTAATTACCACGCAAAGGAATTTTGAGGTTCAACATTTTGGTCTTCAAATAATAGAGCAATTTGAGCACCACTCATCACTCCAGTATTCTTTTCAAAATGTTCTTGAAGGTGATCAATATTTGATGAATTAAATATGTATAGAAAAAGGCCACAAAGTTCTAGCCAATCAGATGCAAACAAAAGGGGTTTTCCTACATTTTCTCTGATTGTCTGTGAGCCAGACCTTTGAAAATGGTAAGTATACAATTTTAAAAATGATCATTTTTGGTTAAATCTGGCCAAATATGCATCTTTCATTCAATTCTGTTGAAAAATAATGGTACAGCGTGAGTCTGCAATGCCAGTCTGAAACGGTTGTTAGACGACCAAAGAGCCTCCTATCCCAGAATGCAATGGAGGGCAGGGTACATCTGAAGTGAGCATTCCAGGCACAGAAGCCCGCCTGCTCGACTGACGGTGGGGTAAGCCTAAAAACAAAAATACAGAAAGGATCACAAAGATGAAGCCAATGCCAAAATACAAGGTGAAGGAAAAATTATTGGATGCAAAATAAAATCTGTACTTTTGTATTATATTTATAATGTTGATTCCAATGTCTTAAGCCATAAGGCATTTTTCACACTTGAATATTCAGTCCTTGCATATGGTGAGCCAATATGGACCAATGTGAGCATGGGGGCCCCCTTCAATGGCAAAAGCATTGAAGCAGCTTTTGTGCAAAGTAACTGTCCCATGACACATTTTTTTAACAACAGCTGGCTCAATGTTTTCGCCGTTGAAAGGGCCTCTATCTTTGAGTGTGCAGTGATTGCATGCAGAGAGTGGTCTATATTAATAACAATAATGAACAGTTCTTATATAGCGTACAATACATTTAAGACTCTATGTGCTTGTGTAAGTAAACAGGTGAGTTTTAACAAGTGGTTTGAATTGCCCCAAGGTGGGGCAGTTTTTGATATGGTTTGGGAGATCGTTCCATAGTTTGGGAGAGGTGAATTATTGGAAGGCACGTTGACCGTATGATTTGGTGATAACTGGGTAAGGAGTGAGAAGATTTTTGGAACTAGAGCGGAGGGTTCTTGGCAGATGGTTTTTGTCCATTGATTCTTGGAGTCAAACTGGGGCTAATTCATGCATGCATTTGTTAATCGAAACCCGTTTATTGCCAGAAAATGACAACCGTTAGAGACGACGAGCAGATATATTGTTATTGTGTACTGTTTAAATTCTGTCTAATGTAGGAACTATTCTGTAATTCAAAGACTTAGGTACGACACGTGTCATTTTGTGTATGGGTTTATGTGTGCGAGAAAAATTCACATCTTCTTTAGCACGATTTCATAAGGCAAGATAGTGAATGCACTTCTACACTTACATCAGCTTCGAACCGGCTAGCCGACCCTGGCAAGCTTGGTGGTCGGGTGGTTAAGCTGTCAACATGTGATGCTTTTACAGTTTTTGAAAGGTAAATCACAATAATTAAAGGAGAAGAACGTCTCACCACTTTGCGGGCGTTTTTCCTGAGCAGCATCACGCAGTTGCCAGGGATCTGTTCGCGACATTCGACGCAGATGTTGGGATCTTGACTACCAACCCTATCGCGGAGCATGGCTGGTGCGGGATACGCGAACTTCTCCTGTTATTGGGGACGGCAGAAGAAAAAATATGACTCATAAGAGACACAAATCACTGCCAATAAGCGTGGTTGTAATAGGGAAATGACAGCGTCGCTGGCAATACATGTCAGACAATTCATTTGCATGTTGAAGAGCTCAGTTAATAAACCTAAAAATGTATTTTTTTCAAATCTTATACATCCATTATCTAGTAATGGTCAAGGAGATTACAGATTAGGAGTTTTGGATCATTTCTCTGAATAATTAATATCATGGTTAATTTGCTCCGTCATGGACATTAAAATTTCTTCCTTAATGCTGGAATCGCCCAATACCAGTCATGACTGGAACAAAAAAAATATATCATATAGTAAACACAAGATAAAAGTAGTGTGGGGGAGGGGGAGCGGCTGGGGCTGGTTATAGTTTGACATTAGAGGGCGCTGTTTACGATACAAATTTGTATGTGCGTACACATAAATGGCTGCATTTCAAGCCCCCTTCTGGATGCATCTGCTGTTATCTTTACACTAAAATGCTATTAACCAGTTCGCATCGGAGGACAGCATAACACGCACTGGCTGTTTTTATACACAGGCCTTTCTGATGGGTTAAGACGTCAAGATTGCCTCAACTCACCTCCGGGCGACATCTTAACACGCTAATCCCTCATGCATTTTGTACACACACAGACAAAGTCAGTGAAGTCTGTTTAACCAACAGCATGCGCGTACTGGTTCATGGGCGTAAAGTTCGCACAACTAATTCTATTCTGAATGTGCACAAAGCCATAGCGTCCTTGCAACAGCGTCAGGCGTCTTCTGCAATGCGTTCGAATGTCTCTCCCGATGGTACTCTCCCTTTATTACAGTTGACAGAGCCCATACACTTTCCCAAATTTTTGGCTTTGAGGTACTGCTCATGTTTGCTTTTTTTTCACAATTTGGATTTCCAGACTTACCCACGTAGGCTGCTCACCGATGAACTTCATCAGGCTGTTGTTGAGAACCAGGCTCTTCCTGGCTCTTGTGATGGCCACGTACACCATGTTCAACTCATCCTTGTCCACGACAACTAAGGGAGCTAAAAGAAACAACAAAAACTTTCAAAATAATTGTTCAAAAGAGCAGAACACTTTGATGATCATTTACTAGCAAGGAGGAGTTAGACTTAACCCTAAAAGGACCGGGTTATTTTGGCATTAAATTCAGTACATGCATAGAACAACTATTCATGAACATACCCAAGAAACTTCATGACTATAGGTCAAAGGGTTTTGGAATTATGGCTAATTACTTATTCATATGCACGAATGGTAATTCTGCTTTGTGTGCACTACGTATATGGGGAAATTCAGTTTTTACGGCACATAGTGCCGGAAAATTTTCCGCTGCGCAGCAATCCGTAGCCCGATTTTGATGTTTTTGGTATCAAAAGATGCACAAGGCTCCAGGCTAAAAAGTCAGAACAGCTCGGGTCGCGAGCTATCGCGGAAAAAGTTGAGGGGGGGGGGGTTGGATGCTGCCCCCCCCCCCCCCATGGCCCCTTTAGGGTCAAGGGTTTGCATGGTGGACATGATCAATGAATGGGAGGTTTGCGGTAACACCATGTGAATGATATCTCTCTGTGAGTTGTGTGGTTCTGCGAAGAAACAGTTGGTTTGGTTTACTCTGCTTGTCATCAGGAGACTCCTGGACTCTTGCTGGTGTAGTGGTTTAAGTAGTGGATGCTAAGTCAGTGGACCGTTGAGGCATGAGTTTTCTGGAACAGGATGCTATTAAACTTCAGTGGGCCTTTAAGGCAGGAGATTTTACCCAGCATCTTAGCATCCTGTTAGCAAGCCATCACCTACACGTACCTTATAGTTTTAATACAACAATGTGGAAATAGCGCACAATACTACATACGTAATCCTTTCCCCTATGTAAAACATTTGGTTCAGTATCCACCCTTGGCACCATCCGACTCCGATCAACTGTGCACAATACCCCAGTACAGAAAGTTTCCTTTTACCATAATGCTCTCCAACTTACATAGCCTAGCCTCGCTTATCCCGAAGTCATCTGCGATCTTGACCGTGTCGAATTCCAGACCTTTGGCCTGATGAGCTGTGCTCAGGACAATATCTATAGTAAACAAAATAAATTAAGTAAAATCACATTGTGAGCTTCCAATATGGCTGCCGTGGAGTGCCAGGCCTCGTAATCTGGAGCATTGAACTCATGCTCTGTGGGTAATTCTGCAGGTTGGGGGTTCGAGTCAAGCCTGGGGTTGTGGGCATGTGTCCTTGGACAAGACAGTTTGCTTTGATCTCCCAACCGAATAGTAAATGGGTACCTGTGACGGCAACTTAGGTAACTTAAGCAGTAAATTCATGTGGCTTACTTTACAGCAAACAGAATGTAAACAGACCATAATTACAAATTTGGGCGATTCACAATGCAGTGCGCCACCAACGGTTTGCCATGGAGAGTCCATTTTTCAAGGTTACGGTCGACAAAACATGGCCCATTTGAACGAGCGTCAGTAGACAACTTGAGCTAATTTGTTATAGATTGGGGCATAGTGTTCTGTCACCTTACAAAAAACACCATATTGATAAAAAGCAAAAAAAAGGCCAAACATATACTTGAATCATACGCTTGCAAAACTACTGACCAGAAAAACTAACAATTTCAAATGTCCCGCGCTGCAAATTTGTCGACCATCTCCCACAATGGGAAAAATTAAGTCTTTGTGGCAAACTCTTGGTGGCGCATGGAATTGTGAATCGCCCGAATTGGGGACTGTGACTTCTCAACAAGCTGTTAATGCTGCTGATGTTGTTTCTGCTGTTGCACGCTGCTGCCCTCTGCTGCCCTCTGCTGCTGCATGCTGCTACTGCACGCCGCTGCTGCATGCGCTGCTGCACGATGCTGCTGCACGCTGCTGCTGCATGCTGCTCGATGCTACTGCACGATGCTGCTGCACGATGCTGATGCACAATGCTGCTGAACGCTGCTGCTGCACGCTGCTGCTGTACGATGCTGCTGCACGATGCTGCTGCACGATGCTGCTGCACGATGCTGATGCACGATGCTACTGCATGATGCTGATGCACGATGCTGCTGCATGTTGTTGCTGCAAGCCACTGCTGCTACATGCTGCTGCTGCATGCTGCTGCACGCGCTGCTACATGCTCCTGCTCGCTGATGCTACCTACCTGCCATAGTCTCGGGTTTAGTTCGGCTCCGAATCTTCTCTATGAGCTCGGGTATACGAACGTTGTACATCTCAGCAATCCTTATTTTGTTGAGTAGATCTTTGTTCTCTGTATCGGTGGCGTATTTCTTCAGAGCTGGAAGGTTCTTTTGGGTGTATATGTACTTGTTCTTGATGAATCCTCTTTCTAAAAAAAAAAAAAAAAAAAAGTCAACAAGTGATACACGAAATTCACACTTTACCAGCCCAGCTGCATTTTGCACAACATCGCGCAGTACGCGCGACGCGCACGCCAATGTCCTTATAAGGTAACAAGTTGTGGAGGGGCATTCCATATTATAGTCAGAGGGGTGTTTTGTAAAACATGAAGTAAAATTGTTGCACAAAATGGTTGGCAACGTCTAATTTTGACTTGTTTTGATTTTTGGACCGCAGAGATTTTTTTTTTTTGACCGAAAAGGTATTTATGAATGGGAATAAATATGTGTTCGGTTGGTATTAAACACTCTGTTTAAGACCGGTGGGAGTGTGGATGGGTAATTATCGCCCATCCAGACTCCCACCGGTCTTAAACAGAGTGTTATAATACCTCCCGAACACACATTTATTCCCTTAATAAAACTTTCAACGTATTTTCTTTAATTTACTGATACCAGTTTATATGCCTCGTTTCATGGCAAAAAAAATCATCTCTAAATATTGCAGAAACGTCTGTGCTAAAAGGTAATACACAACATTTGCAAACATCAACTATCAAATTATTGTGAAATATTTTACTTGACTGCAAGTAAATAATAGTTTCAAGCATCCTGTGAAATCATGTCACCTGGTGTGCTGTCATTTCTAATAACAGTGAATTTTTGTATCAATTTCCAATGATGGTCGTCTGACCATCGTTGAAAAAAACATTTGGTTAGTCCCACATTTCGTTTGCAATCGGTTAAGCATCTGTGACCAGGTGCAAGCCAGATACTTTGGTTCCCTGACCTGACAATTGACGTCTATAAACTGTTCCATTTCATCTCAAGTAGGGTCTGGGAACCAGACTACAAGAACAGCATTTGTTTCTTGGTTTTTCTAGCGTCTATAAACACAAAACGTTTAACAGGTCAGTGTAACAATATTTTCCAAAAAATACTGACCTATTTTTGCATAATATTATACAAATAATGAAATGTTTATGAGTGCAAAGGTAAGAATAATTTCATAAGGTGACGAATGGAGTGTTCCATTCCACAAGGCCAATGGAACATTCCATCGGTCACTGAATAAAATGATTCCTTCCACTGCACGAATGTGAAATATTCATTACATGTTTTATACAACGCCGGAATAAATCCCCGTCATCTGATTGGTCACTTGTAAACCGGTACTCAACTGTACAGCATCAGAGCCACCAGAGCTGGGTTATAGCGCCACCATGCAATGGAAGTTCTCTTTACCGTGCAATGGAACTTACATTTTTGTGGCATGGCCGCGATGCATGTTGGGACAAATAGTTCAATGACATGTGATCAACAATCCACCAATTAGATGACAGGGATTTAGTCAGGCATTGTATAAAATGACATTCATTTGAGACATTTCATGTACTCAGGATATCAACCTACTGTTTTCAGGCTGAAGCAGTTGGTATATATCCAAAATGACGTCCATACCGTAACGGTCAATGCCCTGCAAAAAAAAATATTGATATTTAATAAGACTGTGAAGATAAATTGAACGGGGTTATTTAAGATAGAGATCAAAAACACGTATTTGGTACCACTTTTATCTTCACTTTGAGTAAGGATTTTCCCATTAAATCGGTACGTATGTTCTCCGGGTAACTGCAAATGCTCCTACGTGCCTTTCAAACGTATTTCAGCTTCATTAACAAAAGTCGACAACTTTCCATGGAAAATCTCTCCCCGAGGAATGTGTATATATTTCATCCGTAGTTAAATTGCAGCAAGATAAGTGGGATATTTACTTTCACTTCCCTGATGCTAGGCATGCAACTGGGAATTTAGAAAAAAAATAAGGAAACTGCAAACCACACAAGACTACCTTGGAATACTAACCAATGAATGAAGCCCATTTAGCTAGAAAATAAGTACAGGGTGTAATAATAATCAAATATCCACTGCTTCGAGTGGTGTGTGAAGCCTCCCGGCCGAGAGAAATGGAATGCTCCATGGATCACCAGGGGAGGCTTGTTTTCCAAGGGATAAAGCAGTCAATATATGTTTTATAACGCCCCGCCAACAGATTCTGCTTGATTTTTTAGGAAATAAGTGATTAATTTATCCAAAGCCCAATTAAAACGTACTTCTATTTCAATATGAAATACGTTGAAGATTTACTTGCAAGTTTCAAAACTACCCCTTCATGAAATGTTTGAACCCAACTCTTTAGTGGTAACAATACTCTCTGCATGCACACCCTAATGCATGCACACACAGACCTTTGGTTGCCACTTGTTTTCTATGTGAATAGTACTTTTCCAGGCTGAGGCAGCATATTGGTTTTGGCCATGCACAGCAAGATAGTACCATTAGTGAATGACATGTGACTTGCTTTTGGCCAATCAAGATACAGAATCTGTGGGTGAAGTGTAATAATTGAGAATAATTTACCCCTGCAAACGCCAGCATAGTTGTGTTGTCTGCTTCTACTATCTTGACAGCCTCGCTGAACAGGGTGATGTTGGAGCGAGTTATGATCGCCACTTTACCGACCTCCTCGCCATCAATGCGACCTGTGTGTGTGTGGTACGTCATGTCAAGCATTAAAAACACAAAAAGAATAATAATAATACTGAAGTCTTATATAGCGCACGTATCTACCAACAATTAGGTGCTCAAGGCACAGGTAATTATGTATATTTTTAAATACAGGTAAAGTGAAGCACATGAGAAATATGAGACCCATTATGTAGCACCTTATAAGGGTTCACAAGGTGTTGCGGCGCATATTGCAGCCACTGCCAGAAACACCGGGGCAAACCCCTTCTCTTAGCGATAAGTGTTACTGGGTTCTTTAACGGGCATTACACAACATACGGGACCTACGGCTTTACGTCCCATCCGAAGGACGAAGCAATAATGGTAAAGTGCCTTGCTCAAGAGCACAAGCACCATGTTCCCACGGTCAGGATTCGAACCCATGTACCACGGCACACGAGTCGAACACCGTAACCATTGGACCACAGCACCCCACCAGGGTCACACCAACAACAATGTCCCTAGTCAGCCACCCAAGTGTCTTTCTTAAAAAGCTTGTCCTTGATTGTAAGATATAATGTTTAATCCATATTTTTACTCCCAAAAAACAGTGTAGAATAGATAGGTTCGCTCTGTCTGGGTTGAAACCAACATTATGTGACTACCATATGAACATTCTTAAAGGGCATGCAATGAAATGTTTCTAATGCAATCCTTCTCTAAATGTACCTTTGTGTCCCATTGAACTTTATTTTCTAGTTTCGTTTTGCCATTTTGAAGGGTGTTTTGGTGCCTTTTTGGTTTTAATGCTGAAGCGAATTTCTATATTCATGAGCAAAACTGTGATGTCATTCCAGGCAGAAACCTCAATGTTACAGCTATTTCAGCACAAACAGTTACTAGATCTCTGGATATTTTGTTGTCAAACATTTTCTTTTCTTTGGAGATTCGTTGTTGTGTAGCTGGTAGGCCAATGAGCAACCTTTCACACAAATGTTTTAAATAAGCAAATTGTGGGTTCACAAATTGAACCCACAGCATGCGCATGAGCATCACACCACCGCAGTAATAGCTTCTGATTCTGGTCTCCGGACTCCACTATTCAAAACCTCAAAAATGAAGCAAAATAAATAAAAATAGGCAACCCCAAGACAATGCTGCACCATCACTGCATTGCTGAGACAATTGAGTGAATACAAAGCATGACCAAAGTGTTCGCTACACGTAGTTACAGCAAATTGGTTCTACAAACTCCTTAAGAACTTCCAGGATTGATATTTTAACCGCTGCCCACTACTTGCCTGGTTCTCTTGTACCAATAAGCATTTGTTTTGTGCCAGTGCTGTTTCTGGATGCCCTCTCCAGCAAGCAGTTGGCAATGTAAGCAATCTCCGTACCAAAGCGGAAAGACTGTGGACAAAACACACATTGAATTATCATTGGCGATCGAGCACCCAACACAACACATACCGTAATTTCCTGCGGATAAGACGCGTCTTATCTGACTTTCTAGACCACAAAAATATCGCTGCGCCTTATCTACAGGTGCGCCTTATCTGGTGTCGCTTGAGTTCAAAGTGACGGTCTTTGTGTGAAGAATTCTTTCAATGCCGCAATCAATAATGCGGTCAACCAAGGCTCAACTCTCCAGACATTGTGACCGTATTTTCATTCCAACAATGCCGCGATGTGTTGATCCCCCATGATCGTGCTTTCATTCCAACAATGCCGCAATGCGTTGATCCCCCTTAGTGATCGTGCTTTCGTTCCAACAATGCCGTCATACAAACGTTTTTCTTTGTGGCCGTTTTTTCATTCCGAAAATGCTGCAATCAGAATTACTTAAACGTTTGGAAATCGCATTCACTCAAGTTCTATTGTGTGAACGTTGAGGGTGTTTATTGTACAGGATATCTTCGAAGTCTGCTTTAGACTTAGGATAATATGAAGTACTAATGTCAACATGACAATCGGCATCATTTTGAAACCGAAGTCAACAAGGTTCCTCCATTCACCGCGTTTTGGTGTTGCTCAAAGGTGTGCGGTGTGCAAGCCTGAAGATCAAGATGAAAACAGTGCGAGTCGGTAAAAGCGGCTCAGGAAAGCGTACTTCCGGCCCGAGCGCCATGTTATGCATACAGAGACCGCACGAACCTCAGTGCACGTGTGGCCGAACATTTTGTAGAAACACGCTGCGGTGTATCATCGAGTCCGAGCGGTAAAATCTCGTTAAAATATATATTTCAACGGACAAATACATACACAGAGAAGAGAGATCACGTTCTGAGAATTAATTTGCGGAAATTCTCTTTCTCCACCGATGTATGTTATTTTCTACGATCCAAATTCGTCCTGATACGCTACTGTAGTCATGCACGGAACATCATGGTCCGGTACCGTACGTAGGCCGTAGTCACTGGTTCCTGGCCCACATCATAGCTTCGATTCTGTAAGCATGCGATGGGAACCAACGAATACTGATGGCACTGCTGCCGCACGGAACATCGTACAGCGGCATGGCTTCGACGACGTGCATCACAAATGCGTCAGAATTACAGGCCTTTTCGTCAAGATTTAGCGTGTCAAGATGAAATAATATCGTGTAAACGATTATGTTGTGCATGCAAATGGCGTGTGTAATATTAGTGTGCGTATCGGCGGCTGAAAATGTGATCGGCAATTTGTTTTCTGTGTACGGTGAGTAATTATTTATACTGACACTGTGACAGCTCGGTTACTTCTCCCACGCGGTCTGGGTAAATTTTCCCGTGTCGAAAGTCCAAGTGCGGACAGTGGTCACATTTGACCATTTCTCATTTTACTATCGTCTCGGTAAAACCTTCCAAAAAAAAACTCCAGTGCGGACACGGCTTAATTCATCCTCCGAATAGTGTGATCGTTCTAAGGCAACACAATGGCCCCTTTGTGGCGATGTACCGACACCGGGTGACGCCTGGTGTTCTTCTGTTTGCGGTCAAACATGCGTCTTATGCGGCGGTGCGCTTTATCTGTTGGCGTTTGAATTTTTTTTGGGTGATTTTAGGGACCTGCGCCTTATCCGCCGCGCGCCTTATCCGCAGGAAATTACGGTACTGTCAACTTGGGAGATACTTCATTATATATGTAGAATAAGTTGGACAAGAGTATCCACAAAATGACGATTGCATCAGATATAAGTTGCAGAATTCGGAATAACTTTCCAGTATTCTTTCCTGGGACGAGTTCCAGACAAGTTGCGGGTAGAATCATACACTTTGTTTTGAAGAACCTTGACTCATCAATACTGATAACTTCATTGAGGGAAGATTGAGGGGAAGTTGTTCAGAATCCTGCAACTTATACACGATACAATGTCCACAACTCGTCCCAGATATGCATTCTGTTGTCACTATTTGAACAAGATTTAGTTGTAATGTTGACACTTGCGATTTGACAGGGCGGCTCTGTTTGTGTGCAAAAGCAATCGCAAATAAAAATCTTTATACAGAGGGTTGCCGATGACAAAAAAAGAACACTGTTTGGGATTAAAAAATAAAACACTCATTGGCCCATATTCATAAGGAGAACAACGTAGGATGGGTCCTGCTTTTAAAAAGTACATCAACCTGATTATTTGACCTTAAGTTTGCAATAATGTGAAACTAGAAATTGCTGGTGGTTTTCTGCACATTTGCATATTTAAATTTTATAAATAAACCATAACAGAATATGCAAATCTTCTCTTCTTATAATCAGGTGGCACTATGCCATGAACAGTGTTCTAGAGGAGACGGTACGAAGACGGCACAAGATGTGGTCATGGAAACACATCAAGGAACATCGCATGATGCTGAAGGAATACAAACAGCTCTATGTCAAGAAACTAGACACTAGTAAACCAGGGAAGGACTTGATTGCCAGTCTAGAGGTGGGTCACCTTTGAAATGCTTAACAAATCCAAATTGAAATGAGCGCATGAGGTCAGTATAACAATGTTATGGGGTATAAAAAAAAACATGAGTCCAAGGTTATTAATGAAGTTTGAATGTTTCTTTAATTCAAAACTACACTTGTTCAGTCTTGAATATTAGATTGAAGTGAGTTACTCCCGTTTCAGACACGCATGGAATAGTGAATTAAAAGTGAATTAAAAGCGACTTGAGTCAGCCTAAATTGAGCTTTGACTGGCGAACTTTATTTTAGATGTCCGGAGAAGTTGTTGAGAATCTTGCAAATAAGATAACCAATACAATGGGCCCATTGAGGAAAAAGTTACTTGCAATTTACCCCATAAAAGAATCCTTAGAAGAAGCTTGATCATATTCCCTACAAATAGTCCAAAGTTCCTGGACTGCCCATACATGCTCTCACAACTTTGGTCTTTGAACGAGGGTCAGCGTGAATACTAGAGCTACCTACATCTGATTTTGATAATCATATAGGCCTGCACGTAATCCGGCTCAACTTCGCTTGTTCTTATTTGCTGTACTAGTTTATAGTCGAAGTTTAGAAAGGGTTGCAGTTGTGAGACAATCCTTATTTGCAGCTATTTGTTTTGGCCATGAAAGTCAAGTCATCGTCAGTTAGAACCTGTCCATGTCTATAATGCAATATGTGGTATCCTTTGTTTTTGTAAGAAACTTTACGAAATGGCATTACTCCCATTGCGTCACAATTAATTGCGTAAGTTGTTTAACGCTGCGCAACATTTCAGTTATGACACATTTCACGAAAAGTTTCATAGTGCGTGAGTTAGCGAGTTTCGCAACAAATTATGGCCTCACTCGTGCAATCATTTGAGGCGGAGTAGGATGTGGCGTAGAGTCTGAACATCAACTATTTTAATAGCAAATTGTGATCGTCATGGAGCCTGTCATTGCACAACATATCAAGGTTGATACAAGACACTCATAGCTTTGTGTTTGAGGCAAATGAGTTGCTATTTTACTTATGACAGAATTTTTAGAGTTGTCGCACCATTCCAAATATAGTCGGGCAAAACTATTTTCAAAATGGCAGGCGGAGGTGATTCAACAACTGTTCGTGACCGAACAAAATCATACACAAACAGCCGTATTTAAAGTGTTGCACAGCTACACTAAGTTTCGCTGCGCAACAAATCTGTTGTGTAAGTGCAATGTATGGCATAAGTTGCGCACTGTTGCATGAAATCGGCTGCTGGTCTTTGAATGAGGTTAGTGGATTCTAGAGCTGCTCTGCTAGTTTCCTGGATAATACTAGAACAAGGAAAATAAGCTTGATATCTGACATGTTCATTTAAAATTGGATTGATCTTGACAGGGGTTAAATACAACTTATAAGTTACAAAAGCCATTTGCATTATTTTAGTCAGACATTACACTGAAAGTTATAAAAAAAAATTCAAGTTAGGATTTCATCCTAACGATCGCCAACCGGCCAAACTCCAACACAAGGGTTTAGTGGAGTCCAGCTGTTAAGTTTAATAGCACAGGGTGTTGGAATTTGCAAGGATGAGGAAGGTTCCTAGTAAATCATCCTAGGGAGTTAGGGTTAACGGTCATCCATATTATACCTGGGTTAGATGGAGTGTCGTCTCGCATTCCACCTGTCGCATGGCGTCTGTGGCCCCACGGAAGCTGTAGATCTGTTGATTGGGATCACCAACCAAGATCTTGGATCCCGGCTGGTTGAGGAGGATGTCCTGTTGGGCTGTTGAGATTTCAGAGGGAGGAAATTGTTTAATCTAGTTGGAAACCCAGCTGGTCTAGCTGGGCTGCTCAGATATCAGAGGGAGGGGACTGTAACTCCAGCTGATTTAAGATGATGTTCTGCTGGGCTGTTGAGATTTCAGAGGGAAGGAATAATTAAATCTAGTTGGAAATCCAGCTGGTCTATCTGGGCTGTTCAGATATCAGAGAGGGGGGGGGGGGGGAACTGTAAATCCAGCTGATTGAAAATGATGTTCTGCTTGGCTGTTGAGATTTCAGATGGGGTTATGGAATGAAGTTGGATCCTGGCTGATACCAGGAGGAGGTCCTGCTGGGCTGTTGAGATTTCAGAGGGGGATGTATAACTGTGGATTCCAGCTGTTTTACGGAGGATGATCTTGCATGTTGTGATCTCAGAGGTGTGATGGTTAAATTACGTTGGATCCTGTTGATTTGCGAGGATGCCCTTCTGGGCTGTTGAAATTTCAGAGAAGGGGACACTTTTCTGACCTGGTGTCAAGTCTTGAGCTTCATCGATCAGTATACAGTCGTAGTCCAGGTACCAGGGCTTCTTGAGTTGGAACAGCTTGAGGTACACTGGAAACAAACCATCAGGATTTATGGGATATTAAAGGCACATAGGACTCATCATTTTATTATCCCAAAAGTAACCTACGGAATCAATATCAAAATAGCTTGCCCCAAACTCTTCATTCTTATTCATCACTGTTTCTAACCTTTGTTCCAAAACCATTTAATTCTATAAATTTGGGGTACAATGTTACACTTTTCCTGTCCTTGTTACCGTCATTACGTCATATTGGACACACCGTCCATTCCCCTTCTCCCAAATAATAATAATAATAACAAAGCGCTTTACATTATTATTTCCCCTTGATCACTGGGCCAATTAAACATTCCAAATACCGTCTCAGCTCCCTGGGGAGTATACAGCTTGATGCAGCCTGATAGGCGCAAGCAAGCTTATTCAATCACAATAGCCATCTCTGCCCTCACAGGTACCCATTTACTCCTGGGTGGAGAGAAGAAATGAGTGACAAAGTGCCTTGCCCAAGGGCACACGCACCATGACCCCGGCTGGACTCGAACCCACAACCTGCAGCTTTATGCGCAGACCACGAATCCAATGCCCTTGACCACGAGGCCACAGCATTCCACAACAACAAAAACTGCATTATTACCATCGTGGGTTATTTTGGCCTCCTTGTTCTTCTCATTAATCATCTTGTCCCAGGCAGCTGAAGCATCGTTTGAGATTTGCTGTATGAAGACAAAAACATTGCACAGAAACAAAAGCACTGAATTTGTAATTACCCTCTCCCAGCTATGGAATCAAACAAGAACATGGTAAATATTCGCAATAAATGTCTGCTTTTATACCAAGATGAAATAATGAATGTGGATATCCTCACTGTGAAATAATGAAGTGAGAAATGAAAAACTTCCACGGTTCGGAAACTTTAAACAATGAAAACAATATAACAGCTGTTTCTAAATTTCTTTGTTTACTTTAACGTTTTCATAAATTGTGTTCAACTATACAGGGGGAGTAAAAAAAACGAAAGCCAAATGTCGAGACCATTATTTTGGTGAAGTTCTGCATGTAGCACTTTCAAAATCTAGGATACGAAAGCCCAATTCATAAGCCTTCTTTTGGTGCAAGAATCATTCAAATCACTCATGTAATTTTCAAGTTACAGAATTTTAAACACAACCACCATTTTAAAGTTCTGTCCACAGATCACAAAAAGGTAAGTGTTCTTTCAGCAAAAACGAAAACAAACCTACGGATGTGTGTGAATTGTTTTCGTTTTGCTGAAAGAACGCACACCTTTTTTTGTGATCCGTGGACAGAACTTTAAAACGGTGGTTGTGTTTAAAATTCTGTAACTTGAAAAGTACATGAGCGATTTGAATGATTCTTCTACTAAAAGAAAGCTTGTGAATTGGGCTGTCATACCCTAGATTTTGAAAGTGCTACATGCAGAACTTCACTAAAACAATAGTCCCGAAATTTGGGTTTTGTATTTTTTTTACTCACCCTGTAGAGTCAAAATTGACTTCGGGTAGCCAGGAGAGGGTGAGATTCTTATAGGTTCTAAAAATTCTAAAATGAAAATGACATTTATAGCATTTTGGAAATAAACTCTCCGCAAACAAAACAGATGCTTTATAGTATAGCGGCGGTACCATTTTCTGTGTGTGGTCCAGATAATGTCTCTCCTGGACCAGCACGTCCCCATTCTGTGTGTACGTGCTGTACTCAGCAGGCACGTGCCGTGTCGTGATGTAGTCGTCGGCGCTGGCGCAGAAGCGTTGGATGGTTTTGCAGACCAGATTGGCGTTGCGTAGCCAGTGAAGCTCATTGTGCTTACGGGCTGGTAGCAGCTTGTGTACGAAGAAGGGATTCAGGGAAGCCTGCAGCTTGTTCTTGTACCTGAACGTATTAATAATGGCAAGTAGTAAAAATAAATCAGCATATTGCATACTTAAAGCTATAGTCCATCATTTGCAACTATTCGAAAAATAGCTGGCGTAATTATTGTTGAAAAACATACTTGGTTGAAAGATAGTAAGGGGACTAAACTCCCTGTGAAATTATTCTTTCTGGCAAGCTGTCATTTTGAAGTAATCAACAAAAGAAGGCCTTTCCAACGGTGCTTCCTTCAGACGCACCGTAGGAAAATTTAAATTAGTAGTTCATTTTGTTATTCGGCAAAGCGCGCGCAAGCATTGGCACGACGCACACGCACCACCGGTTGCTATAATTCGTCAGATCAGTGCGCGACATCGCGTAGCTGCATTCGGCTCAGCGAGAACGTGTCTCGGACGCTGAATTCAGGCGCAATTCAAAACATGATTCAGCAACTTTTGATTTGAAATTGAGATCCTAGAATGCTGTTTTTCTCAGAATAAACAGCTGAAGCTGAGCTGAAACTTTATCAGGTTAGTTGTTCAGTACCCTTCTTTAGATTTTGAGCACTTTTGTTGCTTCAAACGAACAAAATGCACAAATTACAACTGATGGACTATAACTTTAAGGAGAAGTACCCAGATGACTATACTTGTTTATTACCGCATAGACATCCTGGCATTTTATGGCATTGACACGAATTTCATTTGTTCTCATCCAATCAAAAGCATAGAAACTCACAGTTGTCAACCAGTCAACACAGTGTGGCAGTCACACTTTACTGTTTGTCATCAAGTATGTCAGCTATAACCATAGAGCTATATCAAATTACTAGAGGGCTAACTCATATGCACAAAGTGATGCCTGCTGGGCGCATCCATGTTTGTGCACAAACCTATGGAAAACTAGACATTTTGTACGTATTTTGTAAGTCTATTTGCATATCTGCGTTTGTATTCCATACTGGTGCGTCATCGAAGCCGATACGCCCAAAACCGAAACGCACGATCAGCAAATGAGCGTGTCATTTTGCTCTACGCAAACAGTGCAACGCATGCGCATATATCATCGTTGCAGCATTGATTAACCGTGTTTTTTTTAACCGTAACACGCGTGAGAAGTCTGCGTACGTTCTAATTGCGCATTGCATTTAGAGTACACTTTAAAAATTCAATCCATCTAATTTCATCATGTTCTACAAACACGCACATGAATTGAAAACCGTAACACCCGTGAGAAGTCTGCGTACGTTCTACTTGCACGTTGCATTTAGAGTACACTTTCAAAATTCAATCCACCTAATTTCATTATGTTCTACAAACACGCACATGAATTCAAAATGTCTGCGCCCAGGTCAGCTTCAAAGCCTCTCCGTGCACAAGAATGAGGAGTTTGCGCTCTAGTAATTTAATATAGCTCTATGGCTATAACTAATACTGTTATAGCTTGTGCAAGACATTTATTCAATATTGGATGGCTTTGGGGGGATACAAGAATATATATTGCATGAGTATAACAATATTGCACGAGTTGAGGACGAGTGCAAATAATTATTATTATAGCAAGTGCATTATATTTTTGTATCCCTAGAACAAAAGTCATCCAATATAATTCTTTTTTGACATAATGCTGACTTGATCCAACCGAAAGAAACTTCAGGACACTGTCTTTATATATTTCTAATTTTATCAGCGAATTTCGCGATGCTCGAAGCTGCAATTGTGGTTGACAACAGTGCGCGTATAATCTGCTGCACGCTGCGTCTGCATTTTACAGTATCGCGAGCTACGATGTGTTGACTGATTGACAACTGTGAGTTGAAGATAATATCCAAAAAAAAATTGCAGTCATCCCATAGAGCTATATTAAATTACTAGAACGCTAACTCGATGTTCAAAGTAATGCCTGATGGGCGCATCCATGTTTGTGCACAAACCTATGGAAAACTAGAAATTTTGTACGGCTTTTGTACGGCTATTTGCATATCTGCGTTTGTATTCCATACCGGTGCGTCATCAAAGCCAATACGCCCAAAACCGAAACGCACGATCAGCAAATGAGCCTTTCATTTTGCTCTACGCAAACAGCGCAACGTGTGCGCGTCCCTCCGCTGCAGATGCTTTTCGCCGTGACGTTTTTTGAATCGTCATGACGCGCATAAGTTGTTTGCGTAAGTACTTGCGTGTTACATTTAGAGTACACTTTTAAAATTCAATCCATCTATTTTGATTGTGTTCTACAAACACGCACATAAATTCAAAATGTCTGCGCCGAGAGCGGCTTCAAAGCATCTCGGCGCACAAGAATGAAGAGTTAGCGCTCTAGTAATTTAATAGAGCTCTATGAATCATCCAGGTACTTCTTCCGATAACCATACAATGCGCTGATTTGTTTTTGTAAATGGAAGCCTGATGCAAATAATAATTAACAATTGATGTTTGGAGGGTGCTATGCGCCCCTCGAGTGTTCAAAACGTCATATCCCACATCACAGCAGTCAACAATTGTTTTGTTATACCTCTGTCTCGGATTCTTTGGATTCAGATGTAAAAATCACAACAATCCTGACAATCTAATGGCAACTCAAAACAACTCGAAACAGCTGATCGTCTGCTAGTTCGCTGCTCCCACTCATGTGTGAAAACATGGTGAAAATAGTGTGGGTACTAACGATACAAGCGTTTCACACCGTACGTGTCGTATAAGTACAAAGTCATAGCACACTGCCTGTGGGATATCACGTACGTGATATCCCACAGGCAGTGTGCCATGACTTAAAATAAACTTAACACATGATCGTTATAGGCCAATAAAAAAACAGTATTCAAGACAGAGGTACATCATTGTTATATATCCCCTCAAAGCCATTCATTATTATACCAATACTACGACTGGGGTGTCAATATCATCATCAATTATTTCTGGAGATTCTTCATATTCCATAAACTATTTTTCTAGGCAATGCAAACAGAGATTTAGGGAGTTTAAATTACTGCTGCCACTTACTTGAATCCAACTTTATTGTACGCCAGGGAATGCGTTGTTTTACTGGTCACATTCTTGGGAAAGATGTCCGTAGCGTGGGTCTGTACTGACCTGCCATGGGAAATGATAACATCCAAAATACATTTCATTAACTGTAACTCCCTAGCATAATTTACCAGGAACCATACCCATCCAGGCAAATTCCAACACCCACATGGGAAATCATACACACACACTGTTGGACTTAGTTTCTGGAGGTATGCCATACCCAATGTAAAAGACCATCAGTTTTGGGGTACTATACCCATTCTAACATATTTCAACAAGATGAAAGATGCAAGAAGGAAAGAGAAGAGGAAAGGAGAGGGGCGGGTTGGGGCGAGATGAGAAAGGGGGAAGGAAAGAGAAGACATTACTAAGGACAAGAAGACATTCCAAGCTGGCCAGGTTAAGTAAAAGTGTACCTAACCCTTTCCTCACCACATTGCTTATTGACTTGGCTCTCCCTAGAATCAAATTGTTTGCTCAGTCATTCAGAAATCACCAGAGCATACAAAAAAGGACCAAAATTTAAGAACTTTCTTCAACCCAGAATTTCACTGCCAAGGAGTGATTAAAATCAAAAGTGTTGCGTGTAAACTTTGTTCCTTGAACCTTGCTCTTTTATGTGGTGTAAAAATCACAGCCACGTGAAAAATAAGACAGTTAAGCCTATGTTCTGATCTGGTTCCATTTTGTAAACTGCAAGCCATTTTACCGCATGACCAATGGGCTCCGTGCGCCAACAAAAGAGGGTGCCCTTTTACCGAGCAACGACGTCCCATGGGCAGGACACATACATTTCGCTGGTTGACGCGCGCGCACCGTTTCTTGTTTGTGACAGACGTACACCAGGGGATTTGTACTATGTAGACGCTGTGGCCGCGCTTCGTGGCAAAATATTGCAGTCAGGCAAGATGGCGTCGTTCGGTCACTCCCAACTGTACTTTCTTTGCCGGTGAGGAGATACTTGTGAACGGAGCGGATTGGCACTCCATACCTCAAATTGTGCGTGGAAGTTTCTGAAGCACTTTTCTCATTTTTTTGTTAAGGTAACGCTATGACTAAACTACACCATTAGAGCGATCCAAAAATACCGTTTCAGCTGGTATATGGTTGATGTATGAGAGGCCAAACATGCCAGCCTGCTGAAAAGCAGTGAATGAATCTGTGTTGAGGGTGTTCTGTGTGTGGTTTCCTGTTCGACTACAGGCCCCTATGGTAAGAAGCAGGGGGAGGGGTATTTCCTTATCGACAAAAGTCGCCCATGGTAAGGAAAGGGTTAACACTGTAGCCCTAAAGCCTGCCTACCCATGCTGGAAATGTCTACATGGATTAAATACAAAATGATGAATTAATCTTGAATAAAAAAAATAATGAAATCTGTGTCTTACTTGTTGAAAGCCACATAGAGAAATGAGGTGTCCGGTCGTCTCTCGGCATACTTGACCAGAGTGGAGGTCTTACCTGTGCCTGTAAAATGGTGCAAGAGGTTTAATCTGATCTGTTCAAAATACTTCCTTAATCTTTGGCTAGTGTATCAGATACTGTCAGGGTAGTCCTGGCCTATGACCAAGGTGATATTGAAGGGGGGGGGGGGGGGATAAATAAATACTTTGCAGAGGGTTTGAGAGTTGCTGAGGGCCCCAGAGCAATGTAGGGTTCATGGTGTGTGATTGTATTTGCCTAAAGGTATCCCTTAAAATATGTTGTTCTACATAAAGGTCTACGAGTAACAACACTACGTTTAAACCTCAGGAAATCTAATTTAGAGAGGAGATCATTTAAAAAATCTTAACACATCTTAACACAGGAAAAAATCGTGACACAAAATCTTGAAATCAAGAAACAATCCTGACAAATCTCATCCCTGTAAGACTCCGTTTAGGACTACGTTCCCTTAAAGGGAAAATACAACATTTGCAAACATCAAAAAATAAAACTACCAAATCATTTTGAAATACCTTGCTGGACTGTTAGTGAATGACAGTGTAAAGCATCCTGTAAAATCATGGCACCTGGTATACTGTCATTTTCAAGAAAAGTGGTATTTCTGTATCAATTTCCAACGCTGATCGGCCGATCAGCGTTGGAAAAAACTGGCTTTTTTCAAATACTGGCCCCAGTTGACCATCGCACTTGTTTGCAATCGATTACACACCTATGAACGGGTACAAGCCATCTAGACTGGTTCCCTGACCCTACAATTCCCCAATATATGTAAACTGCTCTGTTTCTTCTTAAATGGAGTCAGGGAACCAGACTACAGGAAAATGATTGTTTTTCTTGGTTTTTATAGCATTTTCGAACCCAAACCTCAAAACAGTCAGTGTAACTATATTTGCTATATATTTCCAACCCCCCAATTCCATCCATTTCTAAAAATTACAGCAAAAGCAACTGATGTATATTCCCTTTAATGAAGCAGTTCCTCCCCCACTAGCGCAGCCAAGCAACCACAGTGGTAGAGGGGGTTATCATCAATTATACCTGCATTTGAGTTGTACTCAATTTTTTTTTTCTGGTCTGAGTGCCGAGATTCCCAATTTAAAAAAAAGTTGATCGAGCGGAGGCAGAACAGTTTTGAAAGTGTGGGGGGGGGGGGGGGGGAGGGGCCAAAGCTCCGCCGGTACTGGCGGAGTGGGGGGGGGGGGCCATAAATCTCATTCATCAGTAGGGGGCGCCCTTTTCCAAAAGTACACTTTTTGCAAGAAACCACCCCAGTGATTTGATTCATCGCACTGAAAGTTCCCTTTAGTGCCTGAAAAGTTCCTGAAAGTTCCCTTTTTTTGCGCAGTGGACAGGGCTTAACGGATCTGCCCATTTCAAGAACAGGATACCAATTTTTTTAAAATAGCTCTGAAATCGTGCACTGCACTCACCAGCAAATGCGACAATCTTGACCACTTTGCCACGTTCGATGTCGTGGTTAATGATGCGCCACTGCTCATGGGTTGGAGGCATGCTGAAGGGACGAGACAAAGTACAAAAAAGAAAGGGGAAACAATTGGTGAGTTTGTGCATAAAATGTTCACACACATCATCACAAACGGGATTAATTCACTACAAGGCGTTACCAGGGAAATCTCACTGCTGCACCAATCCATTACTCAAGGCTTTAAATCACACTTAAAACATATGGCTGCGTTTGAGTGACTTGGCAACGGCTTCCAGAAACACACACATCTATGGACAGTGGCTTCGCCTGCTTCCATAGGCAAATGTGTTATTTGCTAGCCGCAGCCGAGTTACCCTGACACAGCCTGAAGCCCAGTTCATACTAGGTGCCTGAGAGGATGTGAATGCGAATTAGTGATGTAACAACAAGTAAAAGTTGGGCTCATTTCAACTCCGGTAAATTTCGCAACATATGTTTCCTGACGTCAAATTCGCTTTGCGTTCGTATTCGTGTCGAGTCGAGGGTGCTATAAGGCTGAGGGGGTTAAAAATGACATATCCCACATCGCACCAGTCAACAGTTGTTTGAGATATTGCCAGTAAGTCAAAAAGCTATAAAGGCTTGTGAATTACTTTGCAAGGAATAAATCAAATCACTGTCGTGTAACCCTGGATAACTGCAATCTTTCCTGCCAGACATGAGACTGAGCGGTTGTATGGCGCAGGGGCTGGCCCTACACGCGCATGCAATTCGGGCGATTCACAATGCAGTGCGCCACCAAGAGTTTGCCAGGGAGAGTTCAATTTTCCCAGTGCATTGTGGGAGATGGTCGACAAATTCGCAGGGCGGGACAATTGAAATTGTTCGTTTTTCCGAACAGCAGTTTCGTAAGCGTGTGATTCGAGGATCTTTTTGCCCTTTTCTTTTCTTGTTATCAATGTGGTGGCTTTTTGTACGGTCAGAACGTATATGCCCCAATCTAACCAATTAGCTCAAGTTGTCTACTGACACTCATTCAAATGGGCCGTGTTTTGTCGACCGTAAACATTGAAAATGGACTCTCCATGGCAAACTCTTGGTGGCGCACTGCATTGTGAATCGCCCGAATTCAGAGGTATTTAATATGCAATGCAGTGCATATTAGGTAATTTATATGCAACGCAGTGTATTCAAGGTAATTTATCGGCCATGCAATGTATATGAAGTAAACGGTTATTGTGGCCAATGAAATTAAAGAATCAAAAATATGATATAAAAAATTTGCTTATCGTATGATTATCTAGACATTCCTCGTAATATTCTACAGGCAATAAACATGGGGTAAGGTCTTTCTAAAGGAATAAAGAAGAACATCTAAAGATGTAAGTTACACATGGACTTTGGGTAGCTGTTCTACAAAGTTTGAAGTCCATACCAAAAAGAGATGGTGGAAAACCTTATAAAAGATCATAATATACGGCACACGGCAAACTGCATAAAAAAACTTGTGTGGTCATATTCAACGTCACATTAGACCTCCAAACAACATACCTGTGCCTTGGAAGTCGATTCCTAGAGACTGCCCCGTGATCAGACGAACCCTCGCTGGGCAGAGGAACAGCGGCGTGACTGTTCTCAAACAGGTACAGAGCATGGTAGACACGGTAGTGACACCTAGGACATGACAAGAAGAGAGTTTTTACTGAAAGGGATTATGGGCACGATGGCAGTAACACAAAGAAGATGAAACTAGAAAAAGAAATTTAAAAATAGTGGGGAAAAAAAAATTAAAATGAAGACAACAAAAGCAGAAGGGAAAGAAAACCAATAAGCTCATGTAATTATATGTCATTTGACAATCGTTTTCACAATGCATGGTTTTATTTAAAATTTTGTTTAAAAGCAGTTTTATGCCAACCACACTTTAATTAACATATGGTAATCAGGAAGATTGAATTGTGCATTTGGTCATAATACATTTTTCCCCCGTTTCCCAATTTCAATTGAATTTTTTTCAAATAGTCAGTTCAACAACTCCATGTACATTACATGCTCCGTTATCTTCAAGTAAACTTGAATCCTCGATCCTGATTGGTCGATCCATGGCAACAAGCGAGCACGGCCACGTTCCATACCGCACTCCGCGCATTGCGCTATTCTAAGATGCGAGCGATAATTCCGTGCAACACGCACATGTATAGGATAACCGCTGAAAAGTTTATGTACAGCGTGCGAGTTCCATCATTACTGTGGGTCAAGTTTGCGTGAACATAAATTTGTTATCCAACTCGTGCTCGTGGAACAAGGAAAATGTAGTGCGTCTGTGTCCCACATACCACTCGGCCTTCGGCCTTGTGGCATGTGGGACACAGACGCATTTAAATACATTATTCCGTGTTCCACTCGCGCTCATGGGCTAACTAATATTGTGACCATTCACAAGGGCTCTATATGCGAGACACACCACATGAGTCGTGTGTTAGGGCGTCAAGTGAGTAAGCATCCACCCTTCTCTTTGTCACTGTTGAATGGTAGTGTTGTTCTGAGTAAAGTCATTTTTAAATTCATGTCCAGAATATACAAATATTGAGTGGCTCAGAGTAAAATGGGACGAATATTATCGCAAGGTAAAATCTGGACATTTTCTTTGACTTGTGAACTGGAAAAGTCCAGATTTTACCGAGCGATATGATTCCTCCCATTTCACAATTTAAAGCCACTCAATATTTGTGTGAGATAACTGACATATAAATCCTTGTCGTTTGATAAACTTGATCTTTTATTTCAATACAAAATTGGTGGAAAATGTGTTTCTCTCTTCCAAACCACCCCTTCGCGAAAATGTTTGAACCCAACTCTGTAGCGCTGGCACTTTGGAACAATACGCGCACACCAGCATGCATTTGCACACAAATACGAGCATCGATCCTAACTGTTCAATAGTGGCGAATGTGACTTTTTGAGACCCGGCGTGAAAGGGAGTAATAGCGAATGTCACGTGATGTGAGTTCCACCAATCAATTGACAAGGATCTGCATGTTGGTTATGTAAAGATCGCTTATGTTTCAAAGTGTCAGCAACTGCATCAAATCTACCAGCATTGTTTACCAGCTGGGATTTTTAATAAATGGGATTTTCAATAAGAAAATAAAAAGAAAGGAAAAAGTAAGTGTTTGTGCTGGATTGATCATTTACCCGCCATTCAGCTTGAAGGTCATCCTGTACTTCCACAAATAGGCAGCGATGCAATACAGACACTCCATCACCTCCATGGTGGTACATGACGCAGTCTGATGCAGGAGAAAGGTCAGGATACGCGACACGTCTTGGACCGTCTCAGACAGGAGAACCAGCAGGCAGACGGTGGACCAGGGGTTAGGTGCCTACACAGAGACAAAATGAAAAACCTTAAGAGCCGGGAAGATTAAACTAGCTCAGGAAATGATTGTGAATTTAAAGACAATGCTTACCATTTGCAAACATTCTAAATAAAAATTGCCAAAATATGAAACTTGACGGTTAGTAAATAAAAGCATCAGGCATCCTGTGACATTGCATCCTGGGAAATCATTTCACAACGCTGGTTCGGACTGAACTATTGATGGAAAACACAGCTTTTGTTCAAATACTGCCCCCTTTTCACAAAATTTAGTTAAAGGGAATGTACATCATTGGCTTTGCTGTAATTTCCAGAAATGAACTATTTTGAGGGGTTTATCAAATATTGTTAAATTGACATGTTTATAGTTTGTGTTCGAAAATGCTGGGAAAAACCAAGAAAAAAAAAAATAATCAAGTAGTCTGGTTCCCTGACTCCACTAAAGATGAAATGGATCAATTTATAGATGCCGGAAAATTGTAAGGTAATGGAACCAGTCTAACTGGCCTGCACCCATTCATGAACGTGTAACCAATAGCAAACAAAATTTGGACTGAAAAAAAGGTAAATTTGGAGCAGTAGTTGAAAAATAGTTAGGTTTTTCCAACGGTGGTCGGCTGACCACCGTTGGAAATTTATACAAAATACCACTTTTCTTGAAAATGACTTCACACCTGGTGCCATAATTCTACAGGATGCTTTAGACTGTCATTTACCAACATCCTAGTAAGGTATTTCGTAAAAACTTGGTAGTTTTGTTTTTTGATGTTTGCAAATGTTGTATATTCCCTTAAGTTTGCAATCGGTTACATCTGTATTATTTTCACGACTGATGAACTGGGGATCATACCACAAAGAGAGCATAAGTTCAAACATATTTACTGAACATTTTGAAGAGCAGGGCTTTCAATAGAAACCTCCCTCTGCTACAAGAAAAAAAGAAGATGGCTTGTACAGATTCACTGTACTGTTGGTCCTTGAATCGGAAAATAACTATCTTTTTAGCAAATGGTTTACATTACCTTTGATACTTCACTACTGGACATCTTGTTTTTCAGAAACCAAAAGCCAAAACAAAACCAACCGAATCCATCCATGAAAAAGAGTTGGCGCTCCATGACCATCCAGTGAGAGGTGTGCATCCAGCAAAAGTGCAAGAACAGCTAATAAAAATATCATCAATACCTCATTTTCTATAAGCTCTGGGGCTCTGCTCTTCATGATGTCCTTAGCCAGGTCGTACTTAGGGTGCTTCTGAAGATCTCTGTCCATGGAGGAACTATAGCGACCCTTGAACTTTGGCATGCTCCTGCAGAAGATTGGGCCAAAAAGAAAAGATGTAGATAGAAACATTTGTTCCCCCGACAATTTTTGATGTGGGAAACCAATTTTTTAATTATAGGATAGGATTATTTGCTTTTTATGCATTTCTTTTTTTTTTTCGTTTCCAATAATAACACAAATCAAAATCCAAAGTTAACAATGTTCAAAATCTAACCTGTTGAAGTTTCAGCTCAGTGGATATTACATTTTTTGAGAAAACCATGAAAATTTTGTACAACCTTTTGATCACAAAACACAATTTCGTTAACAGCACTCAGTCAATTGACTGATCATTGGAAATCACCTACATTTCTTGATTTCTTCTGAATGACATCAAACCAGACGGAATAATTTCACAGGGTGTTTAGTACCAGTACAATCTTTAATCCAAGTAAGATTTATGATAAAAATTTGTGAGGTACTTTTGGGATAAATGCAAATGATCCTAAATGCCTTTAAATGATTTGTGATGACTTGATGACTCTCTGTTCTTTTGGTTTTAATATTGATGTGTTTAGGTTCTCACCTGACAAGAGCCAATAGGCAGGTATCCTCCGTTGTCTCCAAGTCACCGCTGATGAGATTCAGCTGGTCTGGGACATCACGGAGAGAATTCAGTCGCAGGCGATTGTAGGCCTTCTTCCATGGCATAAACTGTTAACAAAACATGAACAACTCTGATGACATATTACTCTGCCCTTTGCCAATTTTCGAAAAAAAATATACACTGAACCATATGGAGTACTGAAGAATGACGTCATTTAGAACCAGAAAGTGTAGTGCAAACGAGTGGAGTACGCAAGCGTGTTGGTTCACGGGCTAAATTACGCGCTAATGTCTTTCACACACATTTTGTGCGCATGACATATTCACTTCGGTACTCCATTGCAAATCTCCAATTCGCAAAACACATCTCCCCACCCACTCCACAAAAAAAAGTATTTTTAATAAGATAAGCCTTAAAAAGCATTCTAGTGGCTTGTGCTATTGTAATATGTTATTATTTGGAATCATATTCGATTTGTGACATGATATGATGAGTTTATTTCCAAAACGTGATATATCCATTTGAAAAAAGGTGACAAATGTCTACCATTAGGAAAATTTCAAGAATAAGAACAGCTGTTTTTAAACTCTATTTTTTGTTTTACTGTCTTTTTCAATTCTGTTTAACTATATAACAGCTGTTGAGACTGTTTTTGGACAACCAGGACAGGGTGGGACTAAAAAGTGGCATTCGTCACGTTTTGGAAATAACTCATCATATACACAAGCACAGTTTACTACATGGACCCCACTGTAAAACAAGGTAGCCACATAACTTTAGGAGCATACAGTGTTTGTCCCGAACGTTTTGACTCAAAAGTTCATATAAAATTGGGGCAGGGAACATTAAAAAACCAGAATCAATGGATTCTCGTTGAAAACTTACGTCTTCTTTTGAAATGATTTCGTTCCAGCGTTTGCAGACCAGGCTGAGATGGAGTTTAATGTCCATCATGGGTACGAAGCAAAAGATTCTTTCTAGGACCTCCAGAGGGAGACTGTCAAAACCGTGGACAGATCGCGGATCGTCTCCATCGGACTCACTGCACCCAGGTGAAGGTCCATCACCGAGCAGGCCGAAGGTATCTGGAGGATTACTGGCTTGAGGTTGGGATGTTGAGGGCTGAGATTGGACAGATCCCTCATCCAGGAGCTCTGGATCAATACTGTCAAAGTAGCTGTCATTTTCAAAGGCCTGCATGTCTTCGTCGACAGTGCTCTTGACGGATTTTGAAGGGCTGGGTTCTGGCGGCGTCGAGGCAAGATCAAAGTCAACTCCATCCAATGAGTTGTTGTTCATGAACTCTTCTATGTCCGATTCCATGGTGCTCTTAGATGACTTGGCAGGGCTGGGGCAGGGGCTCTGGTTTGGTCTGCCGTACACTGAAGTCTTGGTTCTTCTTCCTTTGACTTCGGAACTTTGACTTTGGAACTGGGGACTGAATTGACTTTTTGTGGGTGGTTCCTTGATTGGCGTTCCCTGATGCGGTGGATGTATGACAGACTTTGAAGGGCTGGGGCCTGGCGGCGTCAAGGCAAGATCAAAGTCAACTCCGTCCAATGAATTGTCGTTCATGAATTCTTCTATGTCCGATTCCACAGTGCTCTTGGATGACTTGGCAGGGCTGGGGCAGGGGCTCTGGCATTGTCTGCCATACAATTTAGTCACCGTTCTTCCAACGGAACCAGGAGATGACGGATGGAAAGCATGTTGTGGACTATGCCCAACTAACGAAGTTTGACTTCGGAACTGGTGACTGAATTGATGATTTGTGGGTTGCTCCTTGGTTGGCGTTCTTTGACTTGGTGGATGTATGACAACGTTGCTTTCTCTTGTGGTTCCAGAGCTTGGAAAACTGGCAGAATGGCTGAGTAATGGTCCAGCGAACCTGTGCTGTTGATGTGTGGGTAAAGTGTTTCTCAGGACCTGATCTCGTAACAGAGACTGAGACGGGCCCATGGTGGCAAACTGAGTGTTCAAATTTTTCTTTGGGAAAGGCGATGCAGCAGCAGGAGAGGAATGACCGGCAATACTTGGTGTTGGCGAGGCTACTCCAGGACACTGCTTGCCTTCGGATGATAGGTCGTCCGTTGCCGCCTTCTTACGGGGAGAGACAGTGATGAAACTATCAATCCTCGACTGGGATTTCATCTCCTTCTCACTGAGGGCAAATTTCCTGAGGCTCGGTTTCTTCGTCCTCGGTGAGACATATTGCAGCTGAGGGTTTCCTTGCGACAAAGATCTTGACGGTCGAAGCACGGGGTACAGACCCTTGTTGGAATCCAGACTTGATTTTCTGACCACCGCCGGGTTTGTCAGTGCCATGGCTCCTGGTTCAGTCTGAGCCAAATCAGAACAGTCCAGAGCGTCCATATGCACCTGCTTCCGCTTGGTACCTGTTGTACTCCCAGAAGATGGCGGTGGCTTCTCGGAACTCTGGAACACTCGAGACTGAATGTCTGTTGACAATACTTGTGGTTTTATTTCATCCTGGTGCCTGGACTCGACTTGTTCATTGGGACTTGGGGGCTGGGATGGTGCAGCGGGCATCTGGCAGGCGCCTTGCTGCTCAACCTTTATGGTGCTGCCAAGGGAACTGGTAGAAGCTTGATGAGCTGAGTTGTGTGACTGAGTTGGGCCACTGCACTCTCCTGCCAAACCAGGCCCGGCGTCATCATTACCCATATGAGACGACACGGCAGAAAGCTGGCTGTCGTCTGACCGCTCAACCTTTATGCTGCGGACAATGTTACTGTTCGAAGGCCAGGCAGCATCGTCATCTGCCCATGACTTGTCCGTCGGATCCCATCCCTCCATTGTTGATTTGTGATCGGCACGTTAACAATTCAGTCGAGTTGGTGGTTCACCACTGTATAGCTTCAGCAATGGCCTTGTCAAGACAACTCCCTGAAAACAATTCAAGACAATTTTCACTTTCTTATTAGTTACTTCTACATTGTTCATTTCGGTGGCCAAAAAGATTTACTGCCATTTAGAAATTTGCCTTGAATCAAGTTGAGGAACAGAAAACGACTCTATCTATGATGTGACTACAAGTCTACAGCCAGGGGCGCACATCTGGAAAGGGGGGGGGGGGAGGGCGGATGGGGTACTGACGATATATCAGCCACTTTTGACAGGGGGAGGGCGGAGAGCCATTGAAATGAATTATTCCCCCCCCCCCACCTTTTGTGGTCGAGAAAAAAAAAATGCAGATTTTTTGGTTTTTCCGAGCTTCCCAACATCTAGCCCCACTAGTGTGGCCGTCAGTATGCTGCGCTGAACCTAAGGCCACACACCGTGGTCGGCGCACTACTGAGGACGTTTTCATAAAATTTGCAGGGAATTTCTTACATATGGCCGTAGACCCTGAATAGAGATCAGTGCACGTGGCCCCCAGACGATAAATGCATGGTACAGGAAACAGCCGTCACATTTGCAACTCGCGCCCTCGCTCGACAAGCAATTTGCATAAACGCGACGTCACAGCTTGAGGTCATCTCTTGTCACATTCAAAATGGCTGCCATCACCGCACGTTTCACGAGTGCATATGGGCTCCAGAAAGATTCAAGAATATCTCGGAAAATTGAACATCATTACACCTAAGCATCCCAGAAGTGATAGATGGGACATCGTGGAATACAACCATATGTAAGAAATTCCCTGCAAATTTTATGAAAACGTCCTCAGTAGTGCGCGGACCACGGTGTGTGGCCTTAGGTTCAGCGCAGCATACCGATGGCCACACTAGTGGGGCTACCCAACATCCTGAAAAAGTGAAATTGTGTTGAACTTGAACTTTGAAGAACGCTGCGCCGTATTGGTGTAATTAGAACACTAAGCGCACAAGTATAAATTTGTAGGATAGGAACAGCGCCCATTTAAAGTCCATCCCCCCCCCCCCCCCCCGCCCCATCCTCCTGCATTTGGAATTTCAACAGCCTAAGGCATTTACATGCACGGCGGATAGCTCAATGCACGGATTTACGCCACTGAGCTGACTGCAGCCTGTGACTCGATCCACCATGACCACGTGTACGATGAAGATCACGAATATTGATAACTGTTGAGGCCAGTCTTCTGCGCGCTTCTGGTTTGCGTACTGCGCGCACTTACGCGTTCTTAATCAGTTTCAAATGTTACGCGTGGCAACTACTTGTTTTCAGTTCGTTCGCCACGGCCAGCTAGACAACAATTTTCTTTTACCGTTCTCTATTGTTCTCTCTCATTTTCATGGAGTTGTTCATTTTCTAAGTTGAATCTACATGTACATCTGTGATGCCTGTTCTGAGGTATGTAATGACACCTGCAGTATGAACAATAAACCAACTGTTAATCATATAGACAGGTTTCTAGCATCGATAATTCTAGAAACTATAGGTCCGATTGAGATCGCGTTATAGGAAATCGGCGGCCTGTGGCAAAATGTGGGGAAATAGAATTTGAACCCTACATTTTAGTAAAAGAAAATTGATTATGAACTGTAGATCTACTGAATGTGCTACCCAGTTTCTTCGTGAACATTTGTAGAGTGTAGCTATAGAACTTTGAAGTAGAATTACTGCGGGTTCCCTGTATTTCTTCACCCGTACCGGACAATTTCGGGCATCGATAAATCGTCTTGCCTTGATGATGTCGCCATAGAGGGCGCTATATATTTACCTACCGGTTTTATGATGCCGTAAAATCATTTCTGTTATATTTCACGTCGGAGAACATCAAAGAATGATGGATGCCAAAGATAGTGTTTCTCAAATTTCACCCATGAGTAACCGAACATCAAGCTCAGTTCATGTGAAAGCAGCCGCAAAACGAGCTGAACTGTTATGTAGGCAACGTCTACTGACAAAGAAACAAGAATTAGAATCTAGACATCTTGCTGTGCAACAAGCTAGGCAACAGGAAGAATTTAGACTGCAGAGAGAAAGGGAAAACTTCGACCTGCAGGTAGAAATAGAAGTTTCTGAAGCCAGCATTAGTGCTATAGAGCAATATGAAGATGAGTTTGATCAGAAAATCAGATTCAAGTTGCCCGACGAAATTCCTCATCCGGCGGCATGTGCAAGTTCTGTGTTGGGTGATAGAATTGAAGCTGGAGCATCTGAAAAGGTCTCTTCAAATGAAGAGCCCAACAAGATTGAAAATCCTTGGTCGATACCGCAAGACTTTCAAGTTAAAGTAGATGAAGTCGAAAACCGGATGCCAGAATTGACTCCGCAGGTGAATATAGGCCAGCTACACAAAGATTGTGCTCAGCTGGATCACCATGTGCCTGAGCCAACTACAGCACAACGGTATCAACCACATCTGCAGCCCATTTCCGATATCGGTGAGCTGACGCAACTTTTGATCAAGCAACAAGTTAGAGCTGCGTTACCAGCACAACAGATAGAAACCTTCAATGGCGAAACACTGAAGTACACAAGATTCGTCAAGTCCTTTGAGTTCGGTGTCGAAGACAAGACCACAGACGGTAGAGATAGACTGAATTATCTTTGCCAATATACCTCCGGAGAGCCCAACACTCTGGTAAGCAGTTGTTTACATTACCATGATGCTGAAGAGGGCTACAGCAAGGCTAAAGAGTTGCTAGCCAAAAGATACGGCAACAGTCACAAGATTGCTCAGGCGGTTTTAAACAAAGCCAATAATTGGCCTGACATCAGAGCAGAAGATGCTACCGGCCTGAATAAGTTTTCGATATTCTTATCGGAGTGCAAGAACATGACAAGTTCTGTCAGCGCTCTCAGTGAATTAAACCACACCCAGAGCATCCAGATGTTGGTCGAGAAACTTCCGTACAGACTGCGCAGCATGTGGAGAAACAAAGTGTATGAAGTGGAAGAAGAGAAAAAGAGATGCATTGTCCTTGACGATCTGGTGAGTTTCGTAGATCGACACTCTCAGATACTCTCCAACCCAACGTTTGGAAGGCTACGTGAGACTCCCCACCTAGGCAAGAATAATATTGGAGAGAAGAACAAAAGAGTTCAAGTCAAGAAAGAGGCATTTGGCACCGCTGTGAATAGCCATGCAGAGAAAGCAAGGCAGAAGAAGTCTTGTCAATTCTGTGGCGGTAACTCCCATCACGCTACATTAGAATGCATGAAATTCGCGCAGCTGAGTTGGAAGGACAAGTCGTCATTCTGTTTCAAACACGGATTGTGTTTTGGCTGCCTGGGGGTCGGTCATACGAAATCAAGCTGTAAACAGAGAGAGTTAAGTAAATGCAGCAAATGTCCAGGCAACCATCCAACAGTTCTGCATAATGATGAGAAAATCACTAAGACGTCCCACCCAGCGCAGAACTCTCAGACCCAAGTCACAATGGGGTGCGCAGGTGTACTAGGGGCTGGGGCGAATTTGCACGCATCTGGCAGTCCTCGAATGGCTATCGTACCCGTCTTAGTAAAGGCATCTTCAAGTCATGAATGCATTGCCACGTACGCATTTCTAGACAACGGATGTGGAGCAGTTTTCGCAGACAGCGAGATTTGCAGAGCACTGAAGGTGAGAACAAGGAAGAGAAGTATAATACTGAAAACCTTGAATTCAGAAGAAGTTGTCGACTCTGCTATCGTGATAGATAGACTCCAGTTGGGAGGGATGATAGAGGAGAACAGCTTCATCGACCTACCTGATGTGTATGTCAAGAATGACATTCCTGTGTCGCCAGAAGACATGGTAACGAAAGATGATCTGCAGGAATGGACCCACCTGTCACACATACAACTACCACAACTGTGCAGCCCAGCGATTCCAAGGGTAACCCTAATCATAGGTATGAACGTACCAGCTGCTACAACACCAATTGAGGTCATCAGAGGCAACTCGGGAGATCCTTATGGTGTTAAGACCCCTGTGGGATGGGTCATCTATGGAGTGCCCGGCAGACCCAAATCCCAACTTGATGCGAACTACATCAACGTACTAGATGGCTTGACCAACCTGGAAGATCAATACAAGCACTACATGAACTTAGACTTCAATGAAAGGTTGGGCGAAAGCCAAGATGAAAGTGCACTGTCAAGGGAAGACATGCGCTTCTTAGACATTGTCAAAGAAACTACAGAGTTTCAAGGCGGTCACTATCAGATGGCACTACCACTACAGCGACCCACAGTAAGAATGCCTGACAACCGCTCGCTGGCAGAAAAGAGAGCTGTTCAACTGAAGCGGAAGTTCGATAAGAACCAAGAGTTCAAAGAGAAATATGTGCAAGCTATGGAAGATACCATAGGCAAGGGTTATGTTGAAAAGGTTCCCGACAGCCAGAAGTTCAGAAGTGATGGTAAAGTCTGGTTCATCCCACATCACGGTGTTTACCAAGTTCAGAAGCAGAAGATGAGAGTGATGTACGACTGCGCCGCAGAGTATGGTGGTGTTTCCCTGAACCGACAGCTGTTACAAGGGCCAGACATGACCAATGGTCTCACAGGTGTGCTGATGAGATTCAGACAAGAACCAGTTGCCGTCAAAGCTGACATAGAGGCAATGTTCTACCAAGTGAGGGTGAGATCGGAAGATAGAGATCTCCTAAGATTCCTATGGTGGCCAGGTGGAGATCTGAGTCGTGAATTAGAAGAGTATAGAATGACAGTGCACGTCTTTGGTGCAGCATCGTCTCCTAGCTGTGCCAATTATGCACTACGTAGGACAGCTACAGACAACGAACAGCGCTATCGCTCGGAAGTTACGAATGCTGTCAGGAAGAATTTCTACGTCGATGACTTTTGCAAGTCAGTACCAGATAAAGAAGAGGCCAAAGTCATCTCGAGGGAAGTGACAGACCTGTTAGCTGAGGGTGGATTCAGACTCACCAAGTGGGTCAGCAATCAGCGAGAAGTCTTACGGTCGATTCCTAGGGAAGAATGGTCTAAGGAGGTAAAAGGCCTGCAGATTGATCAAGATGTTCTTCCACCAGAGAAAACTCGTGGAGTCTTGTGGTGTATGGAGAGCGACACCTTCGGCTTCGAGATCAACGTGAAAGATCGTGAACCCACACGTCGTGGTATACTATCCATTGTGAGTTCAGTTTATGATCCGTTGGGAATGGTCAGTGCTGCCATTATGCCTGCCAAGTTGCTGCTTCAGGATCTATGCAGATTGAAGTTGAACTGGGATGAGAAGATTCCTCAAGAACACCTGCACAAATGGAACCTTTGGCTGATGGACCTACCCAAACTAGAATGCATCTCAGTAGATAGATGCTTCAAGCCTGAAGGCTTTCAGGATCCTGTTAGTGTGCAGATCCATCACTTTGCCGATGCCAGTGAGAAAGGGTATGGCGTCGTCAGCTACCTGAGACTACAGAACAGATATGGAGATGTTCATTGCTCCTTTGTTACATCCAAATCAAGAGTGACCCCGTTGAAGCAGCAATCCATACCCAGACTTGAACTTACAGCAGCCACTGTAGCAGTGAGAGTACACAACTCGATAGTTAGAGAGCTGGAGATCCCTGTTGACCAGACTTTCTTCTGGACAGACAGTATGACCGTCATCAAGTATATCTGCAATGAGACGACAAGGTTCAAGTCTTTCGTGGCTAATCGACTTACAGTGATAAGGGACAGTTCTCATCCATGTCAGTGGAAGTATGTGAGATCAGAACAGAATCCAGCAGACGACTGTTCAAGGGGACTTCCCATCGACAAGTTCATTGCCAATAGGAGATGGTTCCGAGGACCAGAGTTTCTCTGGCATGCAGAAGCAGATTGGCCTTCAACTTGCGTGACCGAGGAGCCAGAAGTAGATCGGGACCCAGAAGTAAAGCGTGTCATGGCGGCAGTTCCGATTGAAAATCTGCTGAGTCGGTCAAATGCAGTTAAGAAGCTGATAGAATACTACTCAGATTGGAATCGTCTGAGGAGAGCCGCAGCATGGTGGCTACGGTTAAAGAGAATCCTGAGAAAGAGAAGCAAAGAAGAATTCAAACATGACGCTGTGAACAACCTCACAGTGGAAGAAATAGAAGAAGCTGAAGTGAGTATCTTGAGATGGGTTCAACATGAGGCATTTCCTCACCAGATAAAGAGGCTTCAAAAAATGAATGATGGCCCTCAAGATCTCACAAGGGAATCTCCAAAACAGCAGAAAGTGGATAAGCTGTTAGACCAGTTAGACCCAGTGATGCACAAGAGCTTGATGAGGGTCGGCGGTAGGTTACAAGCCGCTCAACTCCCAGAGGAAGCCAAGCATCAGATAATCCTGCCACAAAGGTGCCACGTGACAGACCTGATTATGCAACATACACACCAAAAGATTCACCACCAAGGCAGAAATCATGTACTTGCAGAGCTGCGCCGGAGATATTGGATTTTGAAGGCAGGAGTGGTTTTGAAGAGTGTGTTGAAGAGGTGCGTGATTTGCAAGAAAGTCCAAGCTAAATTGGGTCAGCAGAAGATGGCAAACTTACCCGCTAACAGGCTGCTATCTGAGAAGCCAGCCTTCACTAGCACCGGAATAGATTACTTTGGCCCCTTCAATATCAAGCAGGGCCGCAACATAAAGAAGTGGTATGGAGTTGTATTTACCTGCTCGACCAGCCGAGCAGTTCACATTGAGATTGCAGAGAGCCTAGACACAAGCTCGTGCATAAATGCAGTGAGACGCTTCATTGCCAGAAGAGGAAATATAAAAGAGTTGATTTCCGACAATGGTACCAACCTCGTGGGTGCTCATGCAGAGTTGAAAAAGGCGATGAGCGAGTGGAATCATGAAACTCTCGAGAAATTCACAACTGATCGTGGTATCACCTGGAAGTTCAACCCGCCAGCAGCTTCACACTTTGGCGGCATCTGGGAACGCCAAATCCGTACCATTCGGAAGATACTACAAGCCATGTTGAATGAGCAGCATATGAGAGTGTGTAGAGATGAGGAACAGCTCAGGACCTTGATGTGTGAAGTTGAGTACACAATTAACAGTAGACCGTTAACCCATGCGTCTGATGATCCTAAGGATTTGAACGCCATCACTCCCAATGATTTGCTCTTGCTGAGACCGAGCAGTCTATATGTCGCACCACCTGGTGTTTTCTCAGAGAAAGATCAGTATGCGAAGAGGCGATGGCGCCAAATGCAGTATTTGGCAGATCTGTTCTGGAAGCGATGGTCTAGAGAATACCTGATGGATCTTCAACGGCGCCAAAAATGGTTGTACCCTCAGAGGAACCTACACCCTGGTGATGTGGTGTTAGTTGCCGACAATCAAGCACCGCGCAGTTCGTGGCCCCTTGGAATAGTGGAAAAAACCTATCCTGACAAGAATGGATTGATCAGGAGTGCTGAGGTAAAAACAAGAACGGCTCTTCTGGTGAGACCGGTCACGAAGCTTTGCCTTCTCCTTGAGCAAGAAACTTGAGCCATTGTGTAATGCACAACAGTTATAGACACTTTGAAGAGACGAGTCCCCGGCGTCTAAACTGGGACACCTAACTGCAGGGTTTACCCTAGAGTTGGGATGGGTTGCTGGGAACCCAAGTCAGATTAAAAGCAAGACTGACTTTAAGGGTCCTTTCAAGCTGTTGCTTAAGGATACCAACCAGACAGTGGATCTTCACAAGGGAGACCTTCAATGTTCTACAGCCACCATTTCACCTGGAACACCTGTCAGTTCGATGCAGTGTGATTTAGTCATCGCGGATGGAGCTGCAGGTTCTGAAGCCAAATTCTACTTGAAATCATCGCACGATTCCGGACATTCGACGAATTGTACTCATCCTAATGGAAGTCTCCGTGAATGTTATGTCTTTTAAAGTAATTTTAAGAATGTTCAGCATACGCTGTACAGTTATACTCTACTTGTTGAAAAGACATTGTTCTACTTAGTACAAGTGTTTGCCTTTTTCCAAGTTGTTAGATGTGTCCTTTTTGTTTTTATGAAATCTCACTTTCTTAAAGCTTTTTTTTTGTGAAGCATGCAAAGACTGTTGTTATGATAACTTATAAACTTGTTTGATGAGTCTTTATTCTTATTGCTACAGGGATGCATGAATAGACACCATTTGCTGGAGTTACACCTGTGTGCACTCTGTATTCAGTGCTTCGGTTGATTAGCATCTAGTATTCTACAGGTTTCTCTTTAAAGCAGAAACGATTGCTGCAACTAGTTCTATTTTTAAAGTGCGTTTAAATTAGTGCCCGAGTCTTTTATAGTTTTCATGATTTGAGGTAATTGTATGTTCGTTACATAACAATTAAGGGGCTGGAATGTTGAGGCCAGTCTTCTGCGCGCTTCTGGTTTGCGTACTGCGCGCACTTACGCGTTCTTAATCAGTTTCAAATGTTACGCGTGGCAACTACTTGTTTTCAGTTCGTTCGCCACGGCCAGCTAGACAACAATTTTCTTTTACCGTTCTCTATTGTTCTCTCTCATTTTCATGGAGTTGTTCATTTTCTAAGTTGAATCTACATGTACATCTGTGATGCCTGTTCTGAGGTATGTAATGACACCTGCAGTATGAACAATAAACCAACTGTTAATCATATAGACAGGTTTCTAGCATCGATAATTCTAGAAACTATAGGTCCGATTGAGATCGCGTTATAGGAAATCGGCGGCCTGTGGCAAAATGTGGGGAAATAGAATTTGAACCCTACAATAACAATCATGAAGGTCAAGGAAGGATAAATCGAACGTCAATGTCAGTCACTGCACTAAGGTGCCATTTAATGATTAAGGTACATACCTTCTCCGAATCTGTGTCATCTGCATTAAACTCGACAGCATCGTTTTGATCGTAATTCGGTGGACAACAACGTTCGCGGACAACAACTGCCTGCAGTCGATCGATCCGCGGGGAATCCCAACACTGAGCAAAATGTTAGTCTTGGTTCAAGACGTAATTGCCAGACGTTCGCGAGCGCACGTATTTGAGACTAAGCATTTTTACACGTGTCCTCGACAGAGGGCGCAAAACGCTTTTCAAAAGATGTACACTCCATAGACACACATGCTATTTTTTGAGTTTCACTCCACCCCCCCCCCCAAGAAAAATAGTTGTTCGTTAAGTTGTGAAATTGCCAGTTTTCTAGCAATGAGAAACTTATTCTATTTTGAATAAGACATAGACTGAAAAAAAAATCTGCCGACGTTTAATATGGAATAATAATTCGGGACTACGGTGCAAATTTCAGTTTTCGAGGTTTGCACACGCCGAAAATGGACAAAAACATTATTTTCCTGAGGTCACAGGTTCAAACCCCGCCCAATTCAATTTCTTTGTTCAACATGTTATGCGGTCGTGGACAACCGGGACGTTTTTTTTACGTTGGCTTATCTAGCTCCCAGACGTATGTTCTTGAAACTCAATGGTTCTCGAGTCTGGACTCATAGCAACCGATGAAAGCTGGTGTGCAAATATGAATAGAACGATCATTTTTTTTTCATCTGATCTGATGACGTCAGCCCTCCCACCTATATGCATCTAGTCAGTTTCTCTTTGTGGTTTATTTGACATTAATTTTTTCGTTCCAAAAAATAATCACTCAAAGATCAAAATTAAATTCTGTTTGGAGAATTAAAAAACACGCATTTTTTTCTGCACAGTCATGGGCGTGCGCCGTATAGGGAAGCAAGTGAATCACCTTGATTTTCGGCCAATACGTGCACTTTGTAAATATCAGAGAAATTTTATTTCATACTCCGTTGCAATCCTACGACCGTCCTTTTGCTGCGTTTACTGTTCAATTCAATTCAAAGGAAACATTTATTTCCATACTTTCCACAAATAAGTCAAACTAAGTTTTCAAATAAAAAGAAGGTAATTGTATAGATTAAATAGATAATAATACAACAATGTAGTACAACGACTAAATATATTAAATTAGGGTGAAGAGTATGGGGCTGTTCCATAGACATAATTATTCTTTATGTCTATGGGCTGTTCATATAAACCGAAGCTTGTAGAGAACTGAATTGAATAGTTGCTATGAGGATAAGTTAAATAAAAGAGACGATGAATTGTATGAAAAAGAAGAGATGTGGCTATGGAGAGTGGCTGAGGAGGGAAAGCTATTACATATTGTGATAGGAGCGCCTTTTTGTACGAGGATTTAAAACAGCCCATGGGCGTCATGGTTCATTATACTTCAGAGATTTCTTTGAATCATTGTGCTGCTTTTATTGTTCATTATACTTCAGCAGAGATTTCTTTTAATACCAACAAAAGTTGCTATATAAACTTTTTGAAAGTGTGCAATTGTAAGATAAGACGGACGGATTTTACTTTGCACCCATAGAAATGAGTTAGCTGTCAGAAGTATATGCAATAATATTAACATGGTACTGGTACAAAGTTTGGCAGAGTTGACTGTGTCGTCACCGACACCACGAAGTAGCACTTCAAAGTCATTTTAAAGCATTTTTTTCGGTTTTCAGTTTTTGTACATTTTTAAACACTATTCAGCAAGGCCTACCATTGCACGAACTTTCAAAGCTTCAAGAGCTCTACTTTAATAATGACGCTAATTATCCATGGCAACTTTTGCGCGAAAGTGACAAGTTTTGTTTTCACGAAGTAGCGCGCATGGCGCGCACTTCGCTCAAAATTAATGCGAGCAAAAACCTTCATGAAATAACACTCTCCTTGTTTGTGCGCGCGCTGGCCTCCGTTTTCACAAAGTAACACCCACCTAGTGTTGTAATACACTTTTTTCTCTTATATCTTGTTGATTTAATATACAAACGGGTGAAAAACAGCAAATTTAATAGTCAATACATAGTGTCCATAACGAGAAACCCAACTGAAAATACTCGGCAGTTTTGACGCAAAGTGTTGTTATAGAAGGCATTCAATTTCAGATGCCATTTTCTCCGATTGCTAGTTTTTATGGTATGTACACGAGTGTTATACGTCGTGGCGTCACTGACGGTGTGTTGGGTTTCGAATGCATTCTTCTTTTTTTCCAGTGATCGGGTGAAGATGATCCTTCTTTTTTCCAGTGATCGGGTGAAGTATGGAACGTCAAGCAACACTCAAACTGGGTTGGGTATGAAGATCATTGATCGTTTCCTGCTTGATGTAATTCGATAGAGGGAAATTATCTAATTGATCTGACTCCTCAGGATGCGTACTCCTGAAGTATAGTCTCTCCTCAAGACACTGCATCGTTACGGGGTCGAAATCATAGTGGAACTTGTTGGCGAAGAGATTAGGAGCCCGGATGAGGTGCTGGAGGTAGTCTACGCCGAAAATACACACGACTCGGACGGTCTTCCCGAAGCGGCACTCGGGAGTGGTCAGGTCGCTGACCCATTTAACGAACCGAAATTTGCAGTCCGAGTTAGCCGCGATGTCTGGAAACCCACCGGGGGCGCCGGGGAGCCTCTGCAGTGTCGCCCAGTAGACTTCATCGGGGCTGTATGTGTCCCGTGTCCAGTCTAACAGATGTATGGCTCGCTGATCGGTCAAGACGAAGTCGATGAACTGCCTGGTTGCCGCAAAGTAAGCGTTACCGTTGTGCAGTCTCATGCCGCGGGGAGGGGGCCGTTTGGGAATTGGGGTTCGCTCAACGAAACCGTTCCTCACGGTGTGGTGGAAATACGTCCACTGTCGTTTGTAGGCTGACTGAGGGTAGCTATGGATATCATTCGTGCCGTTGTAAAATCGCATTTGGCGCACGATTTCCAGATTGGTTTTGAGAGGGAAGTCTTGGCCGCACAAGTTGATCAGATACTTCCAAGGGTGTCCCCCGGCTGGCGGGCCCGTCAAATCTCGCATGCAGTTGATATCGGCGAGAAGGCGCGTGAACCCAGCGTACTGCACGTCCTCGAGCTTTGACGCGACGAAGACGTTATCGAAGCAGTTGGCGAGACCACGGATCGCGCCGTGAAACTCGGCCGACGACCCCGCGTCCGGATGAAAGCAGTAGATGTTCTGCGGCTGATATATGGCTCGTAAGAGCCTCTCCACTTGAGCTGCGGTCATATGGGTGATGATCGTGTACGCCAGTGGAAAGCTTGTCTCTTCCTCGGACATTGGGTACATCGGGTAGCCCCTCTCCCTCCGGAATGCTTCGCAGTCCCGGGTCCAGTTCCGGACTTCGGCATCGATCGGAACGGGGAGTGACCCGTTACGTTGCTCCCTTTCCCTGCTGATGAACATCGCTGTCTCTTCAATCACCGCGTCGTCGCCCGCAAAAAGAGCGGAGCAGTTGACGTCCCACTGCCGGTGAAACAGGGCAGACCCGGGGATCATCTCCGCGGTCGGTGAAGCACCCCCCGTCTTCGGAGGCCCGGGAATCTCCCTGTGCTTGATAATCATTTGCCATACATCACCTAGGATCTGTTTCTGCATGAGCTGCAGCATCACAACTGTGTAGGCGAATGCGATCAACAATCCATAGAAGACAAACCTCCAGTGCGAGCCCTTGACTATCAAGCGTGTCGGTAAATCCATGACTAGTAATGGCATGCGCACGCCGCGTCGGAGTTTGTCGTCTGGTGAAAAAAAAGGCTGCAGCAACATTTGGCCTCATACATTATGCCATCCATTGTGATATACACAAGGCGATTTTTGAAATGCAAGAGTAAACACGCTATCAAAGCAGCTCACACCTGCTGTGATATTCCTAATAATTGTGGAAATTAAACAAAACCTCCCCAGCAACATTATTTTTCTAAGCAAATCTGCTACACATTAATTATAATATGCATGGGCAAAAGTTGGAATATGCAGTCCACAAACAAAGAACCTTCAGAGCAAAACTTTGTAAGTAAATCTCATGTTATCTGTAATTTGTTAAATTTAATCCTACAATGGCATAATGTTCGGTAAATCAAAATTCATGACCGATCTTCTATGGAAGCGGTGGCGTTCGAGGGGCCTGTGAATATAGTCAGCATGCCCCATCAAATCCAGTAACTTTTGCCCACTGACAAAAATAATAATCTCTTTGCCAAAGAAGAAAAATCAAAGACTCAAAAACTCGATAACTAGTTCCGAACATAGTCATTAGAAAATGAAAATACGTATAATGCAAAAAAAAAAAAAAATACCAGCGGTTATTGAACGTTTATGCAAAACGTCGACTCATAATACAAAACGTCGACTCATAATAATATGGTCATTATAGCGCTTTATACCAAAGGTCTCAAAGCGCTTCACAATTATTACCCCTGTTCATCAGGCCATCAGACCAGTTTTTGCAGCAGCTCGAGATCAGCGCATGCTGGTCTCTACCTTCACAGGTACCCATTTATACTCCTTGGTGGAGAGAGGCAGTTGTAAAGTGTCTTGCCCAAGAACTCAAGCACCGTGTTCCTCGTCAGGGTTCGACTCACGTACCCCGGCACACGAGTCGCACACTAACCAATAGACCACAGTACTCCACGAGAAAACAATGTTGCCTTCAAAGACGACACGAGCTATACCCTCTCAGTATTGTGATAATTTACACCTTGTGCATCTAAGAGGCTGGTAGTTTGTGGTACCGGTGACAATTTAAACCAAAACGTATATATATAAGAAGACAAAAAATATCTGATATTAGAAATAATCGATACGTACGAAACTGGACAATAAGGAACTTAGGTAACCAGGACGTTTTGTGCCTTTAACCCGAATATTATGAAAACGAAACCAGAAGAATGAGTCAGTGTTGATTTATTGCAGATATTTATAAGTCGGACAAACGATTTCAAAATAATTATGTTTCCTTTTGATGGAACTCAGCAACGACAGTCCTACTAGAAATGAAACCGCATTCGTGGTTATGTACATATTGAATATTAACTGCAGGTGGGGAAATGCACGTTAATTAATGAATGGACTTGTTTTACCTAACCAGATGTTGACAAATCTAATATTCCCTTCATATCGCAAAATACATTCCTAATTTCATCTTACACTCCGTGGGTGCCATCATTTTAATCATGTTTTAATGTTATTTCTCCTGAAAATTAAAGTATTAGGATGAATTGAATGTTTTTGGTCCTCTTGGGTCTGGGGAGTGGGGTAGGGCTAGGTAAATTAGCTCAACAATTGGTTTCCTATATACCTTTATCATGCTTCCACCATTTTAGTCATGTTCCCTGTATCCAATAACAGTACTGAATGATAATGTTTTTGAGCAAAGAGGAACCAGACTATTTCTCCTTCCAGCCTCGCTTTGGTGACATAGGTCTGAATATGAAAAAAAATCAAATGGCTGCAACATGATAACGGTCTATAGGCCCGTTTCAGACGTCGTGCTTATGCCGTGTCGAATAAGAAAATTCAAGTTGATTTCTATTCGACACGGCATAAGCACGAGTCTGAGGCCTTATAAGTCCGTGGTCTGCATTGCGGCCTTCCGGTCTAGCCCAGAGTCAACCCACCAGGGCTGCGTGGATAAATTCCTCACTATCACTAAAGTGGTCTTGTTCCTTAAAGGTCAACCAGTTTAAGAAATACAGTAAATATAAAACATGATATCTTATCATCGCATATTTTATATGTAACTGTTTAATTGTCAACGTGTTTCAGAGGTTCACGACTCCGGGCCTTCGCTCCTACCCACCACCAAGCGCGCTATTTACCTCTGAGTGATATCTTTAAGTAAAACAACCCGTAACGAGAGTTTTGTGCTTTTCACGGCGAGCGCAAAATTTTCATGCCAATGCTGTGAGCACAGCCTGGTGCTCTTGTCAAAAGCGCAGAATGTCGCAGCTAGCAGCGTCTTAAATGAGCATATGGGCCCAACCTCGTCCCCAGTGCTCACTTTATTTCTAACCTCGTCGTTTCCAATAGTAAGCCCTGGATAGAAAACCCTCACGCTGCGACGAATCGACTCTGTTTTTACCCCGGACACCGCATACAAAAACAAACGCTAATGTAACGCATAGCCAGGCACCAGACTGTTCCTCATTTGCATACGTGTTCAAAAATGTTGCACATGCAAATGATCCAATACCAGGGCAAGGAGAGCAGGTAGTGATGGTTGCGTACTGTTCGACACCCTGGGACGAGGTTGCATATTGGCCTATGCTTATTCACAAGTTGGCCATTTTTGTCAAGTTCCCTGAATGTATTTCATTAATGTATAACTGTTGAATGGGATGGTGCCAGACTATGTATGCAGGCACAATACAGCCTTATTTTACTGTCATTTTTTTTTAATCTGGCTTTAAACATTAGGGAATGTTCAACATTACAAATTAAAAAAAAAATACAAATTATAAAAAAAAATAAGATTTTACCTAACTTTCAATTCAATATGGCCGACTCGTGAATAAGGCCCATAGGTTGGTGATACCTAATAACCACTTGCGATATTAAACCGATGCAGTTTGGAGCTACATGTAATTGCCTACATTGGACGTACGTGTCCAGTGAGCAGAAAACTAATTAAAGTCTGTCGCAGAGTGATATCCTTTTGACAATATCAAGCAACGCCGCTAATTAAACATGTCCCACACATTCCCGTTTTATTGCACAACGTCAATGCTTTGAGTTACCATGGTTACTGAAAGGATTTTCCTGGTTAAAAATACATTCCTCTTAAAAAGTGAATTGGTCACTCTGTGCCATGTGAGCGATCGATGCTTGTTCTTGGGTACCACTAAGAGTACAGTCTGACGAATTACCCTTAATGAAGAAGTATAATGATTGATCGAGCAAGTCAAAACGCCAGTGTCCAACATGCGGTCGACGTATAATATTAAAATGTAAGCGTTAACTTTGTTTTGTGCGTGTATAGGTCGGGGAGTGATGTCGCATCAGACATGAAATTAGAACAAAACTGGAACCGTTACCATAGTAACGTGGGCCGCTGTTTGCGGCCTGCTCCGGGATTGGTTGCCGCGGTTTCTTGTTTGTCAGGAAAAAGCTTTCAGACTGCTGAGTAATCATAGCACGGGCAATTAGAGACTGTACTACCACACACATCAATTTGCATCAATTTTGAGTTATAGAGCACTTTCAAGATTTTAAGAATTATCTGCCGCAGAAAACATCTTTGTATCCGTTTGATGTGTGGTAGAAGAAAAGGATGTACGAGATCCAGTAGCCATCGCATAAGTCTTTGGAAAGCATCTTTTCTTATAGAGGCATTTCATAGAGGTCTTTGAGGTTTTTTGTGTTACAACGCGAGCAATGCCATGGAGAACATTTCACTTTCAAACTCCACTGACACGTTCGAAGGTTTAGATGAGAGTTCTTACAGCACGGGCAGATATGTGTACAGGCTTCTGGTCCGCGCTGCTGTCCTCGTCCTTGGGGTGCCTGGTAACTGCCTCATCATCCGTGTCTACTGGACCAAGACACGCAAGACCAGCACCCACGTCTTCATCATGGCCTTAGCCTGGGCTGATCTGGCGGCCTGCCTGCTGGAAATCCACAGCATCGCAAGGGATGCCTTGGAGTTTACTGGCCGGGAGCTTCACCCTGCCTTCTTTTTCATTTTGGCTTTCCAGAATGCGGTTATCGCAACCTCAGTGGTCACCACTGGTATTATTGCTGCTGACCGCTACGACTGCGTGTGCCGGTCGCAGAAGCGGTTTTTCACTCCGAGGCGGGCTAAGGCATGTGCGGTGACCGCTTTGCTATATTCGGTCGTCATCAGTGTGCCGAAGTTCATTAACGCGTTTCCCGGTGCTCCTGTGTCAGTCGCCGCGGGAGTACTGCCGTATGCTCTGCAGATGTTTTCTTTCATGGTGGTTCTTGTCGCGATTGTCGTGTGTTACGGGAAGGTTTACGCGACAATCCGGAGGCACGTCCGGTCTAGAGTTGCTGCCTTGCCGGGACCCACTCCGGCGGACGACTTTGACGGTTTGAGGCCGTGGCATTCACCTACTGCACCCGGCGTTGCCATTATCGACAACGTTGCGTCGATGATTGCAAATCGGGAAAGTGCAAGCTGCAACACTCGCAATGTCCCGAGTGCGACTTCTCCGGGTCGAGCAATCAAGTTACACCACTGGGGCCCTGGTAAACTGGACAGAGATCCCGGTGACAGTCGTATACGCACTACACAACAAACAAGGTGCGATGGTTTCTCATCTGCGAAGCAAGATCCGCCTGCCGCAGTTATTGGAAGATACCCCGGGGAAGGCCCTCGACGAACCCGCAGTGTTGCCGTCCTGCAGCGTAAGACAACCAGGATGCTCTTTGTAACAAGTAACGTTTTCGTGGTGTTGTGGCTGCCATATTGGATCTTTGTGACCCTACATATTGCCGCTTGTGCCGGTGGAAATGTCAGCAAGACCGCTCTGCAATTCCTGCTGGACTTTCATATGGTTCTGTTGATGAACCACGCCATCAATCCTTTGCTGTATGGAGCAGCTAACAGGCGATTCAGGAGGGACTGCAGAGAAGCGTTCAAGAAAACAAAGCTTTGCTAGACATTGATGCCGTTACACAAAAGCTGCTTATGGTGTGAAAAATCATATCGCGTCAAGTATTATCGTTTATAATGGGACTTTGAAAGTTTATCCGAATGAATTTTAAAAGGATATCCTTAAACGAGTAACAATTGTTTGTTGTCATTGGAAGGCACTGGACACCGCAATACGTGTGTGTGGTATCATATACGTATAATTTATGAAACGGACAGGCAAACGTCGTGTTTCAACTTTCAAACGTCGTGGTTCAACTTTCAAACGTCGTGGTTCAACCTTTTCAAACGTCGTATTTCAACTTTTCTTTTCAAACGTCGTGGTTCAACTTTCACTGACGTCGTGGTTCAACCTTTTCAAACGATACGTATAGTCAACTTTCAAACGTCGTGGTTCAACTTTTCAAACGTCGTACTTCAACTTTTCAAACGTCGTACTTCAACTTTTCAAACGTCGTGGTTCCACTTTCACTGATGTCGTGGTTCAACTTTTCAAACGATACGTACAGACAACTTTCAAACGTCGTGGTTCAACTTTTCAAACGTCGTGGTTCGACTTTTCAAACGTCGTGGTTCGACTTTTCAAACGTCGTGGTTCGACTTTTCAAACGTCGTGGTTCGACTTTTCAAACGTCGGATGATGGAGAAGGGAATTCACGGGCATACCAACTTTTTAATTGCAAAGTTTAATATTTTGTGTTGCATCAATGGGCTTTTTTGTGTTTAAGAGACAGCTAAATTCTCGACCTTGCACCTTCTTCAGGAATCCTGTCTTGTTTCAATATTGGCGCAAAGCTTTTGGTGGTGCCGTATAACTGCCCTGTGTATTATAATGATACTTTCTTTCTTTATTACCTCTTATAGCCAAATGTCACATTTTATATCTAAACTGCACACCAACTAAAGAATGAACGTTTTAATAATAGACCTATTGCCGTTTGCGAGTCAGCCACGCCCCCTAGGCAACCCTATGGAGTTTTTATACACATAAGCTTTGTTGTCTCAGATTTTATGTTTTATGTCATACGGTTAAATATAAACTGGGCCGCTTCAAAATGTGCACTTATTGATGGTCATGTTGTTGCCAACTAATATTGTTGCATCGATAATATGCCTTTGACATGTCCAACGGAGAGGACAACATACCCAACAAGGGAAGGATCCACGAATTTTCGCAGTGTGGATTTCATAAGCAAATAATTCTGAAATGTAGACAGGGTTGTTTTTTTCTCCGGACACTTGGCCTCCGAAAATCAAAATGGGGATTGGGTTGTCTGGTGTCTTTCACCAAGTAATTGAGCACCAGTAGTTTAGGAAATAACAACCGACTTACACTAAAACTGAATGACCAACTTGTGGACATTATTAGCTTTACCAAACATTTCAATGCCCACGTTGCGATGATCTGGTCAAATTTTCTACAATTTGTGTCTAATGCCTTTCACCAAATTAGGTGTTGGGTAAATATTATGGAAACTGATCAACTTCTACTGTAAGTACTATGATTACCAAATTCTAGACAATTAAGCTTTACCTAACGTTTCAATTCCCAATGTTACCCGATTTAGAGGACAACAATAATTAATACCTGAGCTTGGGCAAAGGACGATCAAATGTTCTACAACAATTATTGTTGTCTTTGCCTTTCACCAAATGAGGGCACCCGGAGTTGGGTAAATATTATGGAAAAGGACCAACATCTTCACTAAAAAGGATCTGAACAATTCAGCTTTAACCAACGTTTTAATGCCCAATGTTAGACAAAAACTACCCAAATCAGTTAGGGTTAAGATACGATGATCTGGTCAAATTTTCTACAATTTTTGTCTGATGTCTTTCAACAAATTAGAGCACCCGGTGTTGGGTAAATATAATGAAAAATTACCAACATCTTTACTAAAAATGACCAGCTTCTGGACAAGTTACCTTTACCCAACGTTTTACTGCCCAGCGTTTTTACAGTGCACAATATACACCTGCGGATCATTTTGTGTTGAAATGCTACTGAGAAATTGTGTACTTTTTCATGAAAGCTCCAAATTTTGTACAGAGGTAAAAATCATTTATTCATGTATTAAAACACTTAAGGATGTTGAGCCATCAAAAAAATGCAACACGTTTCTTACTTTTAAGGCCCATATTTTATCAACAATGCCATGTATACCCTCATTTGGAGTCGTGCATTTTCATATATGAATAATTGTGTAGTGTAGTACCTGCTTGTGTGCCTGCTTTAGTACCAGTGAATCAAAACAAGAGCCAGACTACTCAATTCAGTTGGGAATTAAATGACAATCTCCTCAACATGTAAACTTTTATAAAAAAATTAACATTTTGATAATTTTGTCAAACAAAATAATTGTGATGTTAGTAGTGGGGCTTTCTGGCTCATAACTCTTGCTTAACTCCAATTCAGTTCTATTCAATTCAATTTGACTTTTTACCACTGACGGGAAATTCCATTGGCCTGTTACATTAAACAAGTTGATGAAAAAAACGTTAAAAATTACGTATAAATATTACACCAAAAAAATATAAAAATAGGGCCTATGTGATTAAAATTCAATAAAGACAATTACACCACATAACCTAAAAAAAAAAAAAATTCCATGTGTGGGTACAATTAAAATCCTGTGTACTGTAATCGGTACTCGCACAAATGTTAACTTGCGCTCAGATCTTGAACAACGCAAAATCGGACATAAAGAGCGCCACCTGGAGGCCAAACATACATGTCATCAGCTAAGTATTTAGTTTTGAACAAAACTAAAGGAATTGTGGAGTCAGATTTACATTATATGACATGTACACAATCAATGCAAAATTATACGGGGAATTAAATGTTCAATTATGTATTCTGGAAGGCTCGGTATATTACACCAGTAGACAATATTCGTCATCGGTTAGAAACTCAAATGGCGGCGCTGATTCAACGGTTATTTCAATTCATGTTTGATAATTTCTCAACTTTTGTATGATATTTTTAAAATTCTACTTACGTACTTGTATCTTCCAATGAAATTCACGCTAGTTTGATATTTTCTAATGTTGTTGCTTTTGTTGTTTTCTTTGAATCAAGTTCCATGCAAATATACTGAAATTTCGTTCCACAACGACGTAGCTTTATTTTTTATTCCGATTTCGAATTTCAGCGAATCGATTTCACCTGACAATGCAGTGTATTTCGTGAATGATGACCTCTGGGCCAACATCTTCCAAATTTTAGGAAATAAAAAATATTAACAAATAACCGCAGCATTTGCACGCATTTACATGTTTTGAGCATTTTATTCGTTAGTGGCAGTGCCCCTTGTACGTCCAATCCCCCCCCCCCCAGCCCTCACCGCTTTCATTTCCAGTTTCCACAGCCGGGCATTTTATGATTTTTGGTCATCCCCCACCTAGTACTGCATCCCACTCGCTGACGGGGATTTACACCACTGCATTGGTGCTCCATGGACTCATTTTATTTGCTTGATTTTATTTTTTACATTGTACGTCTCATCAATTAAGATTATAAGTTTCACATGTCCCCAGCACTTTCTGTTGACAAAATGACATACATCGAGCTCGAGGCAGACGCCTGATTCGGAGTCAGACTCGACCCTGAGTTCTCGGGACTCGGCCAAAATTACCACAAACCAGTATTTTTTTCAATCATAATTATTTTGTAGACGAACCTCTCCTGAGTCGAGTAAGCGATAGTCAGTGCGGTGTAGAGGAAACGCACGGCACTGTACATCATCACAGCGTGTGCGCCCGTCTGGCTTCAAGTGGCTTGTTTCCGGTATATTGATTTGGGAAATGGTTACATGTATGTTTTTCCAGGCAATAAATAAGAGAAAAGTTAACAAAATGGTAACATTTACCTGTGAGTTTTTATTAGCAGTGCCTCAAAATTTATTTCCAGTATTAAATGTGACTCGTGACTCAGACTCGACCTTTGTGACTCGTGACTCGGACTCGACCTGCTCAACTGCATGACTCGGGACTCGGACTCTGTTGCGGACTCGGACTCGATGTTTGGTGACTCGAATACATGATTTAGTCTACATCGAAGTAACTAATTAACACTCGATCTTTATAATACATCTTGGAACGACATGGTATCTTATGCTCGTGATCTTGTACCGTATAGAACTCATGTGGACAGAATGTGGTTCAATTCAAGCCGTGGGTGTGTCCTTGACAGTGGTGCACCCAAGGGGCCGGGCCTCGGTGGCATGAGCCCTCCCTCCAAAAAGGGTGTCAATTTTATTTTTTTTGGCCACGATTTGACCGTGGTGATATGAATATGGCCTATTTTCAAGTAGTATAATAGGGGTGTAAGTGGCGCCACCAACATAAATGGCACGTCACAATAGTCCGGCGCGTCACAATAGTCCGTCCCCTCCCCCCCCCCCCCAAAAAAAAACAACCCGTGCCAATATTTTTTTTGAAAAAAAATCAAACTTCTAAAATAAAATTGAAAAAAAGGTGAGCCCCCCCCCCCCCCCCCCCGCGCTAAAATCCTGGCTGCGCCACTGGTCATTGATCAAGACACTTTATCGATCGTAATGGTATTATCTCTCCTTCTAGGGTAGATGTGAGGGCAGAGATGGATTTATTGAAATTCATTCTTTTGCTGAAATGGTAGAATTGCAAACTGTAAGCTCCTTACTAAGCTGAGTTGGTGTTATGATTATATGAGCCTGATTAGAACTGTAATGGGCTAATATTGGTGGATAACACATTATCCATGCCCCCCAAAAAGACGTTTCTCTAACGCTAAATAGACTTGTACTCCCATGATTTATATATAGCGCCCTCTGTCGATACTATCTGCCAGCCACTAGCACTTAACAAAAGCAAAATAATACCAAAAACCATAAAGCATCATACAGCAAGGAAACATCCGACATTCGGTGTTCCAAAAAAGAAGTTTGAAAGTCTCCAGAAAATAATAGCCGATTAAACCACACATCCAAATAAAATATTTCTATATTTACTATGCCCTTATATGGCTTA